ACCAGCTAGACCCAAGGCCTGCACTGTGCCCATTTTGAGAAAAGTCCTGCGCCAAACGTAGGGTCAAAGTTCCAACTGCTCATGCCGACCCCTGTCACCTGCCCGGATCGGGAAGGCTCTCAGACGTGAGCGCGACTCTGTCCTGTGATGGCAGCAAACTGTCTGCTGCCAGAAAGCGGATTCTCTCCGGTGGTGAAGAATGATCCCTGTTTATGTCTGCATAGGTATATTCTGGGGCCCATAAAGGTTTAATTGTCCCTCTAACTAGTTTTTTTAAAAACCCACAAAGAGGCTGCCAGCTTTCCCCAGAGTTTAAAACCAACTGAATGTGGTTCTGTGGAAACTGCTTTAAGTGTGTAACTTGCACCGTGTTCTGAGGCACAAGGCGTGATTGTTTTGGGGACTCGAAAGATGCAGCTCTTAGGAGGACTTTTAAAGCCAGTGTTTGTGGCTTTGGGCTGCTGCTGACCCTGGCTGGAGAGAGGGTGAGGCACTGAGTCTCCGAGACACCCTCGGTGGAGTCTGCCTCTGGAAATTACTCTCCCTGGGTGCCACTGTCCCCTGCTGCCCCCTCCTGGTTCAGGGAGGTGACCCTCCTGTCACAGGACCCTAAAGTGTCCTTCCTTTTCTCAAGGATGTTGTCCTTGCTGGTTTAGACTCTCAGGAAGCTAAGAACACGGGGGAGAAAGAGAGCGCACGTGCCCATGAGACAAAAAAGAGAAAGACACTGGGAAGCAAAACTGGGTCCAGAGAGACGCGCTTGCCTGACTGCTCGGGTGTGTCACAGGCAGTGGCCCATCCTATGCCACTCACTCCTCCAGCATCGCTGCCTCCCCTGTTTGCACCTATTAATTAAAGCTACACTTATCCATTGCACACCTACTGTGTTCCAGGCACCGTGTGGTGAGTGAAATGCATAGTGTCTGCTCTCAGAAAGCTTACAGTCTCTGGGGGACTTCAACATTCAGTAAAGGTTGGTTATGCAACCAAACATGTAGTTACAAACTGTAGTGAGCGCTATGGAGAGAAAGTACAGGGTTTGAGAGAAGCTGATGGAGGGCCATTGAAGCGTCTCTGAGGGAGTTAGGTCTTACAAACTAGACCTGAAGACTGAGAGGGGGCAGTGAGCAGACAGGGTGACAGGAGGGAGAAGCATGCTCGTCGGACGGACCGCAGCACAGGAGGGAGGTGACCGTGGAATGAGGTGTGGCTGGACAAGCAGGCGGTCGGTGCTGCTGCCAGAATCTTCTCTGCCCTCTCTGGGAGCCCCCTTTCCCTGAAATGGTTCGCCGTGGTCTCCCTACCCACCACGCTCAGGCTGGGCTTCAGAGGGCTACGTCCAGACTCCCCCAGACTCCCTCAGCCCTTCTCACACTCCTCTTGGGTTCTGCGAAGAAAACACATTTGTCAAAAGACTAAAGCAGACAGTTTTGACCTGCAGTTCTGTGCCACAGGAGAGGCCATAATGAAGTCAGTCCCAGTTTGCATGACTCCAGATGGTCCCACTGAGACGTCCTACCCTGCATGTCCGAGTCCCTGCCGCTGCAGTCCGCAGTTCATCTCAGTGTGCCCTCCTGTGCTTGCAGGCTCAGCCCCGACGCCTCTGACTCTTCCCTTTCCGTGGCCTCTTGTTTACATTTTTCTTTAGGAAATGTGAGTATTTATTTACAGTATTAGCTTTCCCTCATGCTTAGCTCTATGTTACGGAGTGAACAGACTGCGACGTGGGTTGTAGTCCTGAATTTTCATAAGCTGGTGATGACCTCAGCCACCTCATTTAACCTCACTGAGCCGGAGATGCTTCTTTGTACAGTGAGGTAGCTTTTGTTTCTATCATTTTGTCTTATTTCATAAAGCTAGCCGATCCACACGCAGGATTCCTCTTCACTTCTGTGGCTCTGTGCCTCTTGCGGCCACCTAGGCGTATTTCTGTTACATCTTTGTCTTTATCCATCCCTCTGTCAGAGTGTCTTGGTGGGCAGGGCCGATTTTCTGTATAATTTGCTTTGGTGGGATGGTGTACCCAAGATAACATTTAACAAATGAGAGTAAACCACACTTTTGGGCTTGGGTGCGAGCTCACACATGTGGGGAACCAACTGAGAAGCAGAAAAATTCTAGTTGCAGGTTAGGTTAGACTGCTCTTCTCAGACTGGGGCACATGTACCCCCAGGGCTAGACAGAGGTGTACCAGCAAGTACTGGAAGCCCTTCCTTCTGAAGTAAGAATTCTCAAAGATTTGTGGAGAGCAAATAGCATTAAAACAAACATGGATACACTGTGAATGGAAGGTAGAAGTCATCGGACATCCTAATATAGACGGGAAACCCGTGGCAGACAGCTCGGGGCACAGTCTCCTGTGAGAGCCACAGGGCTTTCCCTTCTGTCCTTGGGTGGCTTGAGGAGTGCTTGTCTGCGGGTGCTTGGAGAGACGTGCACTCCAGTAGGGAAAGGTGTTAAGCTACTCAGGACGAGCATCCCCTCCAAACAATAGATGTGTGTGGGAAGTCCAATTTCACCCACTAGGAGAGTCTGAAGAGGGTCTGGGTTGAGAGGGAGCCGGGCCAAACAAGAGACCCATTTCCAAGCACCCAGTCAGTGACCCCGTCTTGCTTACAACCTGCCTGAAGGCTGTATATGAGCCGTCTGGACTGACCCGAACCTCTGGAAGCTCCCTCGGCCTTCGCCGGACCTCCAGGAGCGCTTCTGCTTGGCCCCGCTCCAGGGCTGGCCATACCGGGACTTGTTAGTTACGTTTTCTCGTTTACACAGCCTCGCAGCTAGAGTCAGGGAGGCGCTGTGACTGAAGAAAAAAGTATATGATCAATAGTGAAGACCTTGCTTGCCATGTGACTTTTGGTGAACTCCCCCAAATCTCCCTGACCCCCAGTTTGCACGTCTATTAAACGGTCCGGAACAACTCCCACCTTGCCTGCTGCACTGGGAGGCTTGTGTGCAGAGCACATGGATTCACCGTGTAGAAGGATTTCGTAAATCATTAAACAAAAATCAGTTATTATTAACTAAGACCCCAAAGAGAAGGAGGGTATATCTCTCACATCATCTTTCCATTCCCCTCAGCTTTCAGTGCTGCCGCGTCAGTTCCGATGTATTCATGAGTCAGATGGTGAAATGCTGCCCCCCCGGCTGACCCTGGGAAATTGCTAACTCATTCTTTCCTACCCTGTCCTTGACTCCTCGTCTCCCTCCAGTTCCCCCACCTCTACGTGGGTTCCATTTCTTCCCACTGCCCCATCCAGAGAACCTGGTTTGAAAAGTGCACTTGAAGAGGCCGTGCGATGCATGTGAATGAGCTGCTCGAGCCGTTTCAGGCATCAGCAGGGAGAGTTCTATGGCGATGCCATTTTTGTGGGGAAAAGGACTGATGTCATTCTGGAAAATTTCTCCCACAAGTAAAAATGCCCAAACAGAATTCTGATTTTTTTTTCTAGAGAAATCAGCAATCCAGCTATGTAAAATGCAGAACCATGTTTTCATTGAACTCTTTGCATAAATCATACGAGTTCCTCCCACTTCTGGGCTGCGGTGGGGGCCTGCACGCTTCACAGTTGACAACCCTGAGGGAAATACCAGGAAAGGGTGGGGAGAAGGAGGAAGGGGCAGGTTTAGCGTGTGCTGGTTTGAGATACTCTCTGGCTAAACAGTAACTTCACTAGGCCATTCCCCTCATGTCTTCCTCAGAGTCGAGTAGACTTTCTTAAGCAGAAATGTTCTCTGGCCTCTGCAGTTTTCCCGTGAAAATGCACATGTTATGCAAGAAAAATCCACAGTCTTCACTAAGGAGGCAAGGGTTATAATGAGAACTTGATTTCTTAAGGCAATGTTTTCATCTTTTATTTTATTTTATTTTTTAAGTAAGCTTCTGTGGTAAGAAATAAAGTCAGAATAATAAAGAAGGATGGGAGAGTGCGGAGTAGAAACTCTTTTCATCCTTCCCCTCAAAACGCAGGCATTGGACATGGCTCCAGGGGCAATAGAGCAGAGCAGAACCAGGACAGGCCCTGGTCCTGGGGCCAATGAGCTGCAGCCCAGCCCCGGTTCACAGATGTGCCCCAGGCCAGGAATGCAGTGGGAAGAGCCTGCCAGGCCGCAGCACCCGCTGACCAGCAGGGCCTGGGAGAATGGGCTCTCATTTTCTCCACCCCAGCAGAGAGAGAGGGCGCAGGGCCCTTCTGTCACAGTGTGCCCAGGATGTGCCTGGGGTGCATCTGCGCTTCTCAGGCTGGGGGAAAGGCTGAGGAGAAACAAAACAGAGAGCCCCTTCTCTTCCTAAGGAGCTCCAGCTGATTTTTGTCATGGGGACCGGGAGATGTCAAGCAGGGATGGCCTCAGCCATCTTGTAACCAGAGGCCTAGGTGGCTTCGTGCTCACGAGGACAAGGCAGGCTGCAGGGCCCACACGTGACCCCACCCTGTTGCCCTGGGAGACGGGCGGTGGTTTATTTTTCAAGTCCAGGACTTGCCACCCAGGGCAGCTGGCATTGCAGGCAGGGGTGCACCCGGGGTTGGCCTGGTCGCCAGCGCGGTGCTTCTGCCCCAGACTCAGGGCCTCGGGGCCGCGCAGCCGTGGAGCCCACTCCCGGGTAGGCTGCGGGTGATTGGGGAGGCGGTGGGGAGTCTCCACGCCCGGAGCTCGCCTTGCTGCGGGAGCCGGGCCGGCTGAGGAGGTAGTCTCGGGCGAGGAGGTCGCCTGGCGGCCCGGGGAGGGCCCTGCCCAGAGCGCCCTCCCTGCGCCGGGCTCCTTTGGCCTGTTTCCCGTTGTCTTCCAACGCTCGACCTCGTTCTGATCCCCCGTCCCTACTCCTCTAGGCTCCTTTGCCCCTCTCTGTTCCTCGAGAGACTCCCTGAAGCCGCCCGTTCTTGATTTGTCCTGGTCGGGTGCGATGCGCAGGGCCTCGGATCCCCTTGGGCAGCCCGAGAGCCCCCTGCCCCGCAGCCGATGGCGCACCATTTCTCCCGCGCCCAGGTTCCATCAGCAAAATGCAGGACGTCGAGGACAATGTGCCGTTCGAGGACCCTGGCGTTGCAGAGAGCGGCCCCTGTAAGCCTCAAACTCCAGGTTGGACCCAGAAGGACAAGAGCATCCCTGAGGATCCAGCCCCTCGAAAGTCCTGTCCTGGGGGCGCTGTCACCCCTAGGGGGTGCTTAGTGTGGGTCAGGTTGGAAGACGCCCCTTAAGGGTTGGCAGGGGCCGAGGCCCCACAGTTCTCTGGTCATCCTCCCTCTCTTTTGACTTGCCCTTCCCCCACCCCCACCCCAATCTGTGGTCCTATTGACCACAAGGTCCTCAGAGTTTTTAGTCCTGGAGCAAGAAGTGACTTGAGCATGATTACTTCAATCTGGTGAGACTTGAGGCTGTGCCAGTTCAAAGCCATCTTTGTTGTTATCGTATTTTCAATTTGTACGTGGAAAGTGGCAGACACCTGGGATAGGTTTTAAAGAACTCAAATGATCCAAGACAGGAATTGTTCTCTCGGTGCTTCACTGTGTGAAGAGTAATACTGCCCTGGGCTCATATTCTTCTCTAAATACTATAGATGTTAACTGTTATGTTCCTATTGGAGCACAAGGTCACTCGGTTGGTTTAATCTCACTGGGACTCATTTGCATTTCTCTTATAATAGCCTCCAGAGAGTTTAACTAGTCATCAATCTGAAGAGCTGTTCACCTCCAACAACATGAGTTAAATTCTTGAAGATCGCAAGAAGAAAAATTACTTCAAGGCCCTGCTGTGGAATTACGTTTGTTTCTCTTGTAGCCGCGTGGGGGCGCTGCTGGTTAACAGACTGGCGCTAAAGCGGCAAATCGGGTGCTCCGGAAGCCCCATTTGGAATAGTAGTCAGTGGATAGGAACCTGTACGGTGTTATAGGGGGAAAGGGGAAAAGCCTTTTTCTTCTTCTTTTTTTGGTAAATACAATTTAACCAATTTTAGTTCTTGAAGTGGCTATTTAAATGAATCCATAGGCAAAACAACTCACTAAAATGAGTAACCAAACTCTTCTTTTTACAAATAAATTTGAAATTTTATATACTAGGTTGACTTGGTTCCTTACTAAATTATCTTGAAAATTTGTTTGTTCTTGGGATCTGAACTGTTCCAATCTACATTAGTTGCATTTCACTGCCAGTTTCTGGTTGAGCCCTCCTCTGTCCCGGGTTTTAGAGCTGCTGGAGTCCCACTGCTGTGGTGACCGACCACAGTCTTGTCAGAGCAGGCTGTGAGCTTCGCTTTGCTGTGGCTGGAGAGTGTTTCTGTGTGTTTTTTTCCCCAGTCCTTCAATAAACTGTCAGAGCTTGATCTCTGAAGGTTTTCTCTTAGTTCTCATTTTGAATTAGTGAATTAGTGGTAAGTCTATTTACGTATTTGACTGAGTTCATCATTTTGGCTGGAACAAAAGCCTTCGGAGAGGGCTCATGAATAAAGGGAACTGCAGCTACCCACTTACAGTTCAACTGTCCGCATGTTTACTGAAGCAGAGACTTCGGTAAATTCTGCCATCCCCTTTTCCCCTTAACGTTTTCTTTTGAAATATTTTAAATTTGTTGAAAAGTCAAAGAGAAAATACAGTGAATGCCCACAGTGTTAGCATTTCTGCCACATTATGTGCGCTCTCACTATATGTATTTTGTCTCTTATGGAAAATAAGAGTCATGTCCCTCTAAAAATTTCATCATGTATCTTCTAAGAACACAGGCATTCTCCAGTGTAACCTTTTTCTACAATAACTTTTCCCTTCTTACATCCTTAAATCTTTTACTGATGGAAAACTTAAACATTCCCAAAAGCGGAGAGGCCGGCACAGTGGGTGGATCCCAGCGGGAGACCCCCAGCCTCCCCGATGCCAGGTCAGGGCCAGGCTGCGTGCACTGGTGTCCCTTCCACATCCGGGAACCAGATAATTTTCTGTGAACAAATTATGAAGCTTCACTGAAAGACAGTGAAAAAATATGCTTTATTGTGTGCAACTTTGTTTAATAAGTAACCATTGTAACTACCACGTCTGTCTCTTAGATGAGAATGCTGTCAGCTCGGTCTTTACTGAGAACTGAGGACAGTGGTCCCCAAGTGCCAGAGCTAAAATTCTCAGCAGTATTTAGTAAAGTGAAATAAAGACACTGGTGGGTTTTTCCTAAAGTGAAACTGATTACATTTAAAGGACTTCTGTTTATCCTGACAGTATTCCTTTCCTGCTGTTTTGGAGGCAACACGATCCCTTCTTTAATGAAACGATGGCTTTGGTGGTGGTAGAGTGGATTTTTTTTATTTGCTCATTTGTTTGTTTCACTGTGCATACATGGCCCAAAAAAAGGTTCGCAAATGGTTGTCAAAATATTTCTGGAAATTTTGTTAGCATGTGAAATCCCAAAACGTGGGAACTACTGCCTCAGAACGGACAGTGGGCTGTTCAGTACCGTCTATGTGGAGAACTGAACTTGATCAGAAGCGAGAAGTGTGCAATACTAACACATGTTTATCATTGCAAATAAATTGTTTCTTTGCCACTTAAGTTATTATTTACTCTGTAGAAGAAAGGTTTTAATCAGTTTCACTTTCTGTTTTTTCTTTTCAATAACGTTTTTGTCCTCCCTCACCCCAGGCCCCACTGTTCTGAGAGGCGCAGTCACGAGCCCTGGCGCTCAGGGAATGTAAGGGGCCGGACCGTCGACGGAGTCTGCGCACAAACCCAAACCCCGGGCGCGCAGTGCAGTGAACCTGAGCGAACGAGTAGTCCAGACTTGGGGGGTTCGCTGCTGTCCACCGTGTGTTCTTTTGTCGCAAGTCTGGTAGATGTGGGTGACGATGCTCCCAAACTGGGCAATGAGGTTGGGATGAATCGTGATTTCCACAAGGAAGAGAAGGCTTTACCTCCAAGCAGGGGCAGGCTCTTCTGATTTTCTCATTGTATTACTCCTGGCGTAGGTATGTAGCACTAATGGCTTCTGACCACACTTGAAGAATTTTTATTTAATAATACAATCACTGTTTGAATATAAGCCTCAAGAGGTTTCATCAATTCTAACTGAAAAGTGATCAGTTGTAATTATTAGTATCAGAGGGTCAAGAAGCACCTTCACTTTAACCAATGAGTAAACCAAAGAAATTATTGTTGGAATATTCACATTGGGGCCCCAGTTAATAATAAATTATAAAGAGGTGATGTTCAGATCTTCACTGACAGATATGGAGTAGTTGGCAATTGCTGCATAACAAATTACCCCAAACATAGCAGGTGAAACTGTTCATTATGTCCCAGTTTCTGTGCGTCAGGAACATGGGCATGGCTTCACTGTGCCTCTGGCTCCAGGTCTCTGACCAGGTTGCGGTCAGTCTGCTGACTGCTGGCCAGGGTGCCCCTCAGGTCCTGGCCACGTGGACCTCCCCTAGGGCAGCTCTCATGAAGAGAATGAGAGGCTGAGAGTGAGAGTCGCTGGTGGGACAGAAAGCACTTGGTCTTTGTTGCCTGAACTCGGAAGTGGTGACCCTGGTATCCCGCGCCCCTGCCGCGTTCTAGAGCCTAGAAGGGAGTCACTAAGCCCCGCCCACACTCCAGCGAAAGGGATTACAGCGGGGTGTGAGTATCAGGAAACACAGATCTTTGGGGTCATTTTATCAGCTGCTTACACACACCTCCTATCAGTTACTCTTTTGAGGGATCACAGGCACAGGTTAAGGTTAAGGTTAAAAGGCACAGATAAAAAGATTGATTTTCTAATAGTGGCATTTTCAACTTTTTTTTTTCTGGCTTCATAATCAGCTTAATTTATGAATTAAGGATTAGAAAAGAACCCTGTTGATCAGTAATAATCCCCCACTCCCATCAAGCTTTATTTTGATTTTTTGTTGTTCTGTTGACACTGCAGTACACAGGGACCACTCGGGAAGTGTGAACTGAATGGCTCTGCTGTGTATTGGCAGTTAAGTGGGTAAATTCGCTGTCAGATTTTACATTTCAAAACAGTTCTAATTTTCCATCAATAGCCAGGTAAATAATGGCAGCCTGTGGTTGTCCAGCTTCCTTAAATGCTTTTGGTATTTCGCAGCCTCAGGACATCTGTTACTAAACTGCCATCTCTGCCCCAGGTTGCCGCCCTGGTCTTCATGCCCTGACTCGCCCCTGACTCGCCATCAGGGGTCGTTGCCAAGCACAGCTTCTCCGGGACAGGTTTTCACCCCAGTCCCGATCTCCTGGCACCTCTGTCGCTGCTTAGATGTGTCCGTTGCTGGCGACAGAGAGAGAGAGAGAGAGAGAGAGAGAGAGAGAGAGAGAGAGAGAGAGAGAAGAGCAGGGAGAGGGGGGTCTGTGACAGGGCGGTGGTGGAGGAGAGGGAGGGACAGCAGGTGGAGGGAATGAGGGGGGAAATGAAGTAGGGAGCTGGTTTCAAGTAAGGTGATACAAAAATTTATCTCGGGGAAAAAAGGTTGAAATAGAGTTAAGGTTACTCATTATTGGTAATTGGCTTCCTTTGGGCTCCTAAGATGCTGTTAATTACAGTTGCACATTCCTAAGGGAAATCCCGTGTTGGGCGTCGTTCAGCAGGCGTTTATGGCGTCCTTACCCTGGGGTAGGCAGAAGGCTGGGTGCTAGGCTAGATACCGTTATAGCTACAGCTGCAGGTAAGCAAGGCCCTGGCTTTGCTGTCAAGGAACGTTCATCGGGGAGACAGTTGGATAACAGAAGATGATGTGTTGTGTGTATGGACTTTAATGAGTGTGATGAACTGCTAACAAGGATCGGAGAAGATCTGCCCATGGAGGGAGATTTTGCCTGTGAAGACTTGAGTTCAGTCGTAGAGGACGCATAGGTGCTTTCCTGGTGCCGTGGCTGGGGAAAGTGCTCCAGGCAGAGGAAACTGCGCGTCGGAGGCGCAGAGTGGCGTGGACCACGCTCTGTTCTTTACAAGGGTCTGCATGGCTGTGCACAGGGTACGACGAGGTAGGACGGGCCAAACTGGGAAGGGAGGCAGGGCAGTATCAGAAAGGGCCATGCAGTGTAAGCCATTTATGCTGCTGGCGATGGGAAGTCCTTTAAAGGACTTTAAATGAGCGTGACACAGTGATCAGAACTGCATCTTAGAAAAGTCATTGGTTTGCGAGTGATCGGTTGGTGAACAGATTAAAAAGAGACGAGACAGAAGGCAGGGGGACTAGTTCACAGACCATAGCCCAGGTAAGAGGTCATGGTAGGAGGGGAAGGGTTCCAGAGACATCTAAGAAGCAAAATTTGTGGAACTTGGAGACGGATTAAAGAAATAGGATGAAGAGAAGAGTTCAGAACAATTCCAGTACACACCAGACTGTGAGACAGTTAGAGTTGACCGTCTCCGATGCCTGAGAGTTGTGTGTAGGGATGGGTACTTTGGCTTGTTTTATTCATCTTGTGTTGCTTTTTACAGAGAGCATACTCCCCTATTGTTTACATCTTGTATTGGTGTAGTGCATTTGTTACAATTGATGATCCAATATTAACACATCATTATTGACTCAGGTCCATAGTTTCTGTTAGGGTTCACTCTTTGTATATACCACGGGTTTTGAAAATATACAATGACGTGTATTCATCATTACTGTATCACACACAGTAATTTCACTGCCCTAAAACCCAGCGTGCTGCACCTGTGCCTCCTTCCTTCCCTCCCTCCCTCCCTCCCTGCCCACCAGGCCCCTGGCAGCAGTGACCCTTTCCACCTTCTCCGTGGGTTTCCAGAGTGTCCTGTGTCTGGATGTGTATAGTAAGTAGCTTTTCAGATGGGCCCCTTTCACTTAGCAATATGCATTTGAGGTCCCTCCGTGTCTTTGGGGGTCTCGATAGCTCATTGCTCTTCAGCACTTAGTAATTTTCCATTTACCCACTCACCTACAGAATGACATCTTGGTTGCTTCCAAGTTTTGGCAATCATGAATAAAGCTCTATAAACCTACATTTGCAGGGTTCTGTGTGGACATAGTTTCCAACTCACCTGAGTAAATACCAAGGAGCATGACTCCTGGATGGTATGGCAAGAGCATGTTCTGTTCTGTGAGAACCCGCCAATCTGTCTTCCAGAGCGGCCACACAGTCGCACACTCCCACCGGCCACGAAGGAGAGCTCCTGTCGCTCCACGTCCTCCCCGCGCCCATGTGGTCAGTGCTCTGGGTTTGGGACTTTCCGGTAGGTGTGTGCTGATGTCTCGTGTGTTTTAAATGCACCTCCCTGGTGACGTATGTCACTGAGCATTTCCCATGTGCTCACTTGCCATCTCTGTATCTTCTTTGCTGAGGCGTCTGTTCAGATCTTTTCCCATTTTTAAATTGCTGAGTTTTCCTGTTGCTGAGTTTTAAGAATTCTTTGTATACTTTGGATAACAGTCCTTTATTAGGTGTGTGTTTAGCAAAGATTGTCTGTGGCTTATCTTTTAATTCTCTCAACAGTATCTCTCACAACACAAAGCAGATGTTTTAGTTTTAATGCAGTGCAACTTACCAATTTCTTCTTTCTTGGATCTTCCTTTTGGCGTTGCATCTAAAAGTCATTGCAAAGTTCAAGGTCACCTAGAGTTCCTTCTAGTTGTCTTCTAGGAGTTTTATAGTTTTACATTTTTCTCTTAGGTCTATGACCCATTTGTGGACGGTGGAAGGTCTGTGCCTAGATTCATATTTTGCATGTGGATGTCCGGTTGTTCTTCCAGCATCATTTGATAAAAAGACTGTGCTTTCTAAATTGAATTGTCTTTGCTTCTTCTATTTTTTTTAAGGGGAAAAAAGATCAATCTTCTGGTTGCCACAACCAGCTGCATGGTAGTGCCACTGAGACTAGGCATATAGGAGAAACAAGCTTGGAGGTGGACGAGAGTGAATTCAGTTTAGACCTGCCAATTTGGAGATATCTGTGGCTATTTAGGTTTGTCAAAGAAGGAAAATATTTTCCTAGATTTTCAGGACTAGAGAAAACCAAAAGATCATTTAGTTCATTGCTATATACATGCACAAATAGGAACTAAGTCGCACATTAGTTCAGCTAGGTGCAAAGTCAGTGCTGAAGCTCAGCCTGACCTCCATTCAGGGTTCTTTCTATTGCAGAGGGAGGGCTGTTCTGGGACCACAAGGAGCCCTTCTGGGAGGTTTTTGATGCCCTTGACATCCAAGTCTAACTAACCCAGTTTGTTCAACTCTGGCGCAGTGCAAACGTAGTTCTTGGCCTTTCCCTGTCAGTATAATGTGTTTTTTTTTTTTATCATATCAAACACTGTTTGTATGGGTATAGGACATAATGACCTTATGGCAGTTCTTGGATAGAGAAAGTAAGTCTGGAAGGCAAAGTCAAGGAGACAATGCATAATGCCTTTTGGGATCATCTTAAAGAGCAGTTATCAGCTACTCCCCCAGACTACACTTGTGCTCTTGAGCCTTTGAAAGAAATTAAAGAGGTGAGTGACCAACCTCCCATTTAGAGGTGTAAGGTTCCTGGACATTTCTGGCTCATCTGAATGTCAGTGGCTGACAAATTCTGAGCACGGTCCGTGAATGAGTCAGAATCTAATCTGCAGATAGAAATCACACAGTAGTTTCAACAAGGAATATTTTTTCTCTTTTTTTGCTTTTGTTTTTTTTTCATTATTAAGAGAGGGAAAGAAACATCAATGTGTGGTTGCCTCTTAAGTGCCCCCTACTGGGAAACCTGGCCCACAACCCAGGCATGTGGCCTAGCGGGGAATTGAACCGGTGACCCTTTGGTTCACAGGTCAGCGCTCAATCCAGCATTGGTGTTGAGCCACACCAGTGAGGGCTCAACAAGGAATTCTTAAAAAATATTTTATTTATTTATTTTTAGAAAATATTTTTTAAAAATATTTTATTTATTTATTTTTAGAGAGAGGGGAAAGGAGGGAGAAAGAGAGGGAGAGAAACATCGACTGGTTGCCTCTCACACTGCCCAACTGGGAACATGGCCCACAACTCAGGCATGTGCCCTGATTGTGAATTGACCTGGTGACCTTTTAATTTGTGGGGCAATGCCCAACCCACTGAGCCACACCAATCAGGGTCAACAAGGCAGTTTTAATAAAAAAAATTATTATAACAAGAATTGGAGAAATGAGGGCCTTGGATTAATAAGACGCAAAGAGAATTCTAAAGAATTCTCCAATATCAGCTGTAGGAGAACCCACCATATCCCCTGGCTGACACAGACCACCCAAGGGTTTGTTTGAGAGAGCACAGCTGTGCGGGGAAGTTGCTGGGCTGTGTGTGCTACTGACCACTGGGCCCTGTGGGAGCTGAGCCCTGGGAGACACCGCTCAGGCTGTAGGAGCCAGTTACTGGCAAAGCCACACATGCTGCAGGAGCCTGGCGAGTGAGCATTCTAGAACCAGAGAGAAAGGCTCTTGCCTTTTGCAATGTCTTTCTATCATGTGGTGGGCACTCATGCGACTGCACCCCACACCCCCAACTCCGCTGGCCCAGTGATCCACATCCTTGGATAATATTCTCTCCTTCAGTGCAGATGAGACCCCTAATTTGCCTCTAACCAGTAGAATATGGTAAAGGTGCTGGGATGTCACATTTTATTACGTAAGACTCTATCTTAGCAGACTGGAGATTCTCCTGCTGGCCTTGACGAAGCAAACAGGTAAGTTGTCAACCACCTGTGGAGAGGGTCACGTGGCCAGGAAATGCAGGTGGCCTCTAGGACCAGCATCCAACCGACAGCCAGTAAGAAGCTGGGTCCCTTAAGTGTACAGCTGTAAGGAAATGAATTCAGCCAACAATTGGAAGGAGCTTGGTAAGAGATCCTTCCCCAGTCACGCTCCCGAATGAGAATGCAGCCTGGCGACAGCTTGTTACAGCCGTGAGAACCGGGCCGGGGACCCACTTCAGCTGCGCCTGGACTCCTGACCCACAGAAGCTGTGAGACAACAAATGCACGTGCTTCCTTAAGCCTTTTAAGTTTATGGTAATTGTTATGCTGCACAAAAACTAATTAATAGTGCCCTCTACAGAGGAAGCTTAAAATTTACCATTTGGTAAAGGAAAAATATTTAAAGGACTTCATTTTTTTCAGAGCAGAGGAAATAAGGATGGATTTGGAGCTGAGAGACAGTAAATTGATGAATGTCACATTTCACTCCTTTGGCTACTCAGCTTCCATATGGGCGCTCCTACACACATCTGAATTCCTGAATCGTCCCATCTCTCCGCTGGGTAGGTCAGAAAACACCCAGATCCTCATGGGACGCTCAGCCCACACGGTCACTGTGGTGAGGTGTTACTGCGGTGAGGTGTTACTTTCTGCCAAGGCCTAGAAGCAAGCCAGGAACTGCTTCTCAAAAGGCAAACAGTTACCCGCAGAAGAGGGCAGAGATTTGCTCCCAAATCCTAGAACTCTGTGCTGCGCCGCTCCTATCGGTGCTTGCCACAGGCTCTGCACAGCGCCATTTCTTGCCGCAGATGCCTCAGGTATCACGGACCTGCAGGACCATAAGGCCCTAGTGGTAGAGTGGCCGGGGTGGTGGCCGGAACCTGCCGCAGAGCCGCTCTGGCTCTGGCTCCCACTTGAAATGGGCAACCTTATGAGCAACTCTAAGTGGCTGTCACATAAGAATGTCCAAAATTGTAGAGAATTTTTAATGAGTCTGAGTTTTTTTGAGCCAAACGGATGACATGCCAGGAAGCAGGATCTCAAATGCTCCAGAGCAGCACAGTTTTGTCGTTTCTTTTATACATTTGAAATTGAGGAGGGGAGGTAATGAAGATTACGGTTATCAAGATCGTGTGCTGCCCCTGGCCGGTGGCTCCGTGGGTTAGTGTCGTCCCCACGCACCAAGGTTGCGGGTTCAGTCCTGGTCAGGGCACGTGCAGGAGTCAGCCAATGAATGCGTGACTACGTGGGACAACGAATGATGTCTGTCTGTCTCTCTTTCTCTGCCCCCCTTCCTCTCTCTCTAAAAAAAGAACAATTAAAAAATTAAAAAAAGAAAAAAGATTATGTGCTCCCTGGAGGGGTCTGAAAAAGAGGATGACTCTGGCATTTCAAAGCCTGCTAACCGAGATACCCACGAACGAGGGACAGGGCTGGCTCACGGCAAAGACGAGCCTTTTACTAAAGAAGGTTCGTGCCTGGGGCGACTACCCGCTCTGACCTGCCCGGCCAGGCCTTTGTGAGCAGTCTTACCAGATTCACTACAGAGCCCCTTTGTTGTCCGCAAAACTAATGCCGTGCGTGTTGCCTTGAAACCCAAAAACGGCCTACAAGTGCTGTGCCTCTTTTTTCATGGTGGGTGGTTCGAGGTACAGCAACTTGTCATCGCCTTGGAGGGTATCGCTTTGACGAGGTCCGGACCACTGAAGCTCTACCAACGTCACCGAGGTGATGGGCAGCTGACCGTTGGTGGGGGTTATCTGCCATCCTCCCTTTTGCATGTCTTCCTAAGACATTGAAAATATGAAATACTTGTTACCCATCAGATCCAATAGACAGATGGCCCTTTGAGTTCGCATTTCACTCATGGCACCAATGTTGTATCAGTCAGGGTCCCATCAGGATGAAGAAACCGGACAGTAATCTGAACAAAGAGAAGCTCGTGCCCCCGGGGCTTCCCCTGGGGGGGGGCGGGGCAATGGAATGGGGGTGTGAGGAAGACCTCCTCCTCTTACAGTCTCTTGAGCGCCCTCTACTGACAAAACTAGCACAGTGCCGTCCAGCCTCACTTCCACGAGGAGGCACTGAAGGGCAGACTTGGAACTGAGAGGCTCTGAAGTGCAAACTGGCAAAGTTTACCATTTAAATAGTATGGAGCAACTTTCACTTTATTTGCTTAAGATAAAGCTAAACAAGTGGAATCTTGCTATGACAACACAATATTCCGTTCAGTTAAACAAATGTTCACTGAACCCCATCGCCCCGCCCCACCGTGTTACAGGGGCACGGGGTGAAGAAGAGAGATGTTCGCAGGGAACGTACATTTTTGGGTTAATAGGCTATTTCCAGTTACTGCTAACAGTTTATTTGCTTGTTTTCTCCTTGCTCTTTGAAGTGAATCACAAAAATGCCTGCTTTTTTAACATGAAGAGTACCTCATCTCCACGTGATGGCGTGTGTTTTATGTTTGTTGCACCTTGAGTTTCTTTTTACCACACTCCTTGATTTTGTTTATCCCTTTATCTCATTCTACCTAAAAATGATACATTGTTGCTGTATTTGACCCCCTAAAGCCTTGATCTATTATTGGCCCCTAAACAAAGGTGACTTAGTACCCTCTAGGAAATTTAGAGACGTGACGTCGTAGTCCTTAAAAGACACGGGCTGGGATGATTTTGGCTGAAGGATTTCCATTAGGGAAAGTCTGGGGCTCTGAACAGACTGCAGCCCCTGTTAGGGTGGTCAGTGACGCAGGCTGTGGAAGAATTCACAAAGAAAAGAACTGCAGAGAATAAAGATTTTTACTGTGTGGAAAGAACTGCAGAGAATAAAGATTTTTACTCACCCTCCAAGAGGGGAGAGGGGCATGGTGTGGAGAGATACACCAGCCCTGAGGGGTGGGGGCTTTGAGCTTCTATGAGGTGATGGGGTGGCTGCGGAGCGGGGTGTTTCGGTTGGTCTTGTACAGGCTGCAGCTTGTCCCGGTGTTATCTTTGGGTGCAGGGTCTTGGCGGTCTGGCATGTCCTGTTTCATAAGTTCTCGGAGCCTCTGCCCCTTTGGGTGCTCCCAGTCCTGAGCAGAGAGGCTCATAAAACAAGAGTCAGTCATGCTTTTGCGTAGTCCAGCTAGCTCCAGCAAAGAGGGCCTGAAAAAGGGCTTTTGTCCTATTAGCCCCCTTTTGACTTGTTTCCTGAGCAGATCTTGCTGTCGCTGCTCTTAGCACGCCAGAACTGCCTGAGAAGTGAGATCAAGGAAGCTCTGAACACGGACCTCCTCAAGCAGGAAGCAGAACACGGAGCCCTGAACTTCCATCACCTCTCCAAGTACACTCTCAACACAATTGCTTTGCTGTGTGTCTCCAGTTAACCTTAGATGGACTGGCCCCTGTGTAATGTCCTCCCATAAAACAGTGTAAGCTTTTCTTCCAAGTCGTTCAAACATCGCTTTCCCAAGTTGTCTTGTCGCAGTTCACATAACATGAACAGGCAAGGGTTATCCCTAGTTCATAGCTATAGAAACCAAGATCCAGACCCAAAAAGTTAAAAAAAAAAAAGTGACCGGCCCAGAAATGGCATCAGAAATAGCATCCCCTATAATCCCCCTTCCCAGAGACAGGTGTTAGTGTGCTGGTGTGCCCCCCCGCACCGACTCCCTTTTCAAAGAGACAACAGAAGGGCTGTGTGGAAAGAGACTGGGCTCGGAGGCTTCAGGGTCCAGAGACCTGTGCTCCCCGCTCTGCCGTTCTTTCACTCTGGGCCTCCGGTCCTGGGCCACGTGTCTTCTTTCATAATTTAGGAGGCAGAACTGAGTGAGTTTTAAAGCCTCTCTAATTCTAATTGATTACACGAGCACAGCGGTCCCCATTTTTCCCCCTTTCCCTGCTCCACCCGGCATTCCCACTCCCTCAGGCAGTCCCCCCACCATTGTCCATGTCCACGGGTCATATGTGTAAGTTCTTTGGCTGCTCCATTTCCTGTACTGCACTTTACATCCCCATGACTATTCTGTGACTACCTATTTGTACTTCTTAATCCCCTCACCCCTTTACCCATTCTTCCACACCCACCTCCCATCTGACAACCATCAAAACATTCTCTGTATCCATGATTCTGTCTCTGTTGTTATTTGCTTAGTTTGTTTTTTAGTTTCAATTGTTGATAGATATATATATATTTATTGCCATTTTATTGTTCATAGTTTTGATCTTCTTTTGTTAAATAAGTCTCTTTAACATTTCATATAATAATGGTTTGGCGATGATGAACTCTTTAGTTTTTTCTTGTCTGGGAAGCTCTTTATCTGTCCTTCGATTCTAAATGATATCCTTGCTGAATAGAGCAATCTTGGCTGTAGGTCCCTGTTTTTCATGACTGAATATTTCTTGCCAATCCCCTCGAGCCTACAAAACTTCTTTTGAGAAATCAGCTGACAGTCTTATAGGAACTCTTCTGTAAGTAAGTAACTTTTCTCTTGCTGCTTTTAAGATTCTCTCTTTAACTTTTGGCCTTTTAATTATGATGTGTCTTGGAGTAGGCCTCTTTGCATCCATCTTGTTGGAGACTCTCTGTGCTTCCTCGGCTTGTATGTCTATTTTCTTCACCAAATTAGGGAATTTTTCTTTTGTTGTTTTTTTTTTTCAAATAGATTTCCAATTTTTTGCTCTTTCTCTTCTCCTTCTGGCATCCCTATGATGCAAATGTTGCAGTGCTTGAAATTGTCCCAGAGGCTGCTTACACTTCCCTTGTTTTTTTTATTCTTCTTTCTTCCTGTTGTTTTGATTGGTAGTTTTTCACTTCCTTATGTTCCAAATCATTGATTTGATTCTTGACTTCATTCACTCTAGTGTTGTTTCCCTGAAAATTATTCTTTATTTCAGTTAGTGTATCCTTAGTTTCTTTTTTTTAAGTATATTTTACTGATTATGCTATTACAGTTGTCCCATTTTTTCTCTTCCTTATTCCCCTCTGCCCTTCATCCCCCTTTCCACCAGCATTACCCCTCTTAGTTCATGTCCATGGGTCATACATATACATTCTTTGGCTTCTCCATTTCCTATACTATTCTTAACCTCTCTCTGTCTTTTTTGTACCTACTATTTATGCTACTTGTAATCTGTACCTTTTCCCCATCTCTCCCCTTCATTCCCCCACTGATAATCTCCACGTGATCTCCATTTCTGTGATTCTGTTCCTGTTCTGGTTGTTTGCTTAGTTTGTTTTTGTTTTTAGGTTCAGTTGTTGAATAGTTGTGAGTTTGTTGTCATTTTACTGTTCATAGTTTTAATCTTATTTTTCTTAAATAAGTTCCTTTAACATTTCATATAATAAGGGCTTGGTGATGATGAACTCCTTTAACTTGACCTTATCTGAGAAGCACTTTATCTGCCCTTCCATTCTAAATGAGAGCTTTGCTGGATAGAGTCATCTTGGATGTAGGTCCCTGCCTTTCATGACTTTGAATACTTCTTTCCAGGTCCTTCTTGCCTGCAAGGTTTCTTTGGAGAAATAGGCTAAGAGTCTTATGGGAATTTCTTTGTAGGTAACTCTCCTTTTCTCTTGCTGCTTTGAAGATTCTCTCCTTGTCTTTAATCTTGAGTAACTTAATGGTGATGTACCTTGGTGTGTGCTTCCTTGGGTCCAGTTTCTTTGGGAGTCTCTGAGCTTCCTGGACTTCCTAGAAGTCTATTTCTTTGCCAAATTAGGGAAGTTCTCTCTCATTATATTTTCAAATAAGTTTCCAATCTCTTGCTCTTCTTCTCTTTCTGGAAACCCTATGATTTGGATGTTGGAGTGTTTAAAGTTGTTCTAGAGGTTCCTAAGCCTTTCCTCATTTTTTTTTTTTGAATTCTTGTTTCTTCATTCTGTACTGTTTGGATGTTCATTTGTTATTCTCCACACTGTTGATTGGAGTCCCAGTTTCCTTCCCTTCCCTTATTGGTTCTCTGTATATTTTTCTTTATTTCACTTTGCACAGCCTCCACTTTTCCCTCAATTTTGTGACCACACTCAACCATTTCTGCAAGCATCCTGATTACCAGTGTTTTGAACTCTGCATCTGATAGGTTGGCTATCTCTTTGTCACTTAGTTCTTTTTCTGGAGCTTTGATCTGTTCTTTCATTTGGGCCATTTTTATTTGCTCAGCACACCTGTTACATACAGAGCCTTAGGTATTCACCAGTGTGGGGCAACCCACATGGCTGTGTTGTGGCTCTGTATGTGGGGGAGGGGTCTGAGAGGGAACAATGCTGCGTGCTGGCCTCTTTTCAGCTTTTAGTCACTTCCCCCACTACCCACAAACTAATTGGGCTCTTGTGGTGCTGATTTCCAAATGGGTGGGCTTGTGTATGTTCTAGGACCCTGTGGGTCTCTCCAATGCATTCTCCTGTGAGGGTGGGAGTTTCTCCTGCAGCCACAATTCCCATAGGTTTTCACAGCGAGAGGTTTTGAGGCTTTCTTTTCCCATGCTGTAACCCTGGGTTGTGCAGTCTGTCTTGCTCCACAGTTGTTCCTCTCAGGTTATCTGCACACAAACGTGGGACCACCCTTCACTGCCTCATCTGCTCAGTCCTCCAGCTGCCACCTTGACATGTGTCCTCAACCACCCCGGCTGCCTGCTTCCACTCCTCCTACCAGTCTGCATGAATGTTTCTTCTTTAACTCCTTGGTTGTCAGACTTCCATACAGTTCAATTTTCTGGCAGTTCTGGTTGTTTTTTGTTTTTAAATTTGTTGTTGTCCTTCTTTTGGTTGTATGAAGAGGCAAAATATATCTACCTATGTCTTCGTCTTAGCTGGAGGTCTCTCTCCTATACTTCATTTCTGACTGGATCTTTTTTAAGCTGCTGAGGTCCTCACTAAATTCCTTGAGCATCCTTATAACCAGTGTTTTGAATTCTGCATCTGATAGATTGTTTAGGTCCATTTTGTTTAGTTTTTTTGTGGAATTTTGATCTGTTCTTTCATTTGGGCCTTGCTTCTTTGTCTCCTTATTTTGGCAGCCTTTCTGTATTTGTTTTTATGTATTAGGTAGAGTTGCTATTAGTCCCTGTCTTGGCAGCATGGCCTGATGTAGTAGGTGTCCTGTAGGGTCCAATGGCACAGCCTCCCCTATCACTCAAGCTGGGTACTGGAGGTGCACCCTTCCTGTGGGCTGAATACACCCTCCTTTTGTAGTTGAGCGTTGGTTGCTGTTGTCAGATCAATGGGAGGGATTTAGCCAGGCCAGTCAGTTGCAAGGATTGGCTGTGACCAATGATCACTAACCTCTGCCCTCCGTGGAAGATCAGCTGTGCAGGGACAGGGTGTTGGTGGTGCTCTGACATGATCTGTAGCTGTCCACTGAGTGTGCAAGCTCTGGGGTTCCCAGGTGGTGCAGGCCAAGGTCATCCTCACCCTATGTTCTGCCCAGGGCCACCCTGCATGAGCTATGAAACAATCTGAGATGGCTGCTACTTGTGCTGGACTTCAAGATTCCTGGGCAATGCCAACCTGTGAATCTAGGCCAGCTGCTAGTGTCAGGCCTGGGGCCACTTAACAAGAGTATGGGGGCTGGGGGCTCGCTGAGGCTGGCTGTTGTTTGTTTGAGAGGATTTAGGAAGTTGTGAAGTTTGAGCCCAAATCAGCCACTCACGGAAAAGCCATTGTTAACAGCTGTAAGTTGGGTGGGACAGAGCCTCAGGGGATCTGCAGGGTTGGGTCAAACAGTGTGAGCCAGGTTAATGGACTCTCAAATGTGGCACCTGCCTGCCAGTTCTGTGGCTCTGTGGGGGGAGGGTTCAGAAACAGGAGAATGGCCAATGTTCTGTCTGGGAGGAAGCTGTCCCTTAGCTCTCACCTTGATACCAGACACCTTGGTTTCTCCCCGTATGCCAGCTGCTGCCCCAGTGCTGGAGGGCAGAGGGAGTAGGTCTGAGTAAGTCCATGTGTGGGTTCTTTCAGATGAACTGCTTGGGACTCCAGAATTTTCTTCCACCAACTCATTCCCCACTGGTTTTTGCAGCCAAAAGTTGTGGGTACTTATCTTCCTGGCACTGGAACCCTGGGCTGGGGGCCTTGGTGTGGGACGGGGACTCCTCACTCCTGAGATATGCTTCCCAAATTTTTATTCACATGGGTGTGGGACCAGCCCCTCCTACCAGTCTAGATGGATGAGGTTACTTTAATTCTGTAGTCAGACTTCCATTCAGCCTGATTTCTGATGGTTCTGAGTGATGGTTGTTCTGTATTTTAGTTGTAATTTTAATGTGGTCGTGCAAGGAGATGAGCTGTGTTTATCTAGGCTGCCATCTTGACCCTCTCGTTATCGAATGCAGTGATTCAGCGGCTCCTGGTAGGGAGCCCTCTCACTGGACCCCCTTTCACAGAATCAGTGTTTTGTTTTTTCTGCATCAGAGGGATCTCCTGGGTCCTGGGCCTGATGAAAAGGGACAGGATGAATACACCATCCAGAGCCTTCAACCGCACCTGCAGGAACATTCCATCCAGTGTGAACGGGCTAAATTCCAGCAACTCCCCAACAAACAGCAGAGTGCGTATATAACTTGCGGGCGGGTGTGGGGAGATATGACCTTGGGTCTGACTTTTGTGATGCTAGAGAGGACTCTGCCTCCTTTTAGGAACAGAAAGTTTCTTCCTCAGTAGGGGGAGGGGAGGGAACAGTTATCAAAGACAAAAGGGCACCCTCACTCCCATAAGCGTGGGTTTATGGGCCAGGAGTACATTTAGGAAAGAACCTTCATCTCCACGTGTCGGGGGCACAGATACTGAAGCTGCCCCCGCGCTCCACCCCGTGTCAGGCCCCCTCGGCCGCACCGTCAGATGGCTGACCCGCGCAGCAGCAGACCTCCCGACGCTGCCTCCAGCTTGCCCTGAAGCTCCCGACCCTTGTGGGGTGGCCTGCCCCTCTCCAAATGGGGCAGCCCACAGTCCCGAGCCCCTCAGCCCCACAATGGTGCTGTCCCAGGGTTTCCTGAACCTTCTTCTCTGGGACCCCGACAATGAAGAGTTCTCTGAGGTAGGCCTGTGTGGGGCACTGCCTGTGGGCTTGTATGAGGTCCTTCCTCCACAGGACCCTGCTCTCTGACCACCTGTCTCCTCTGCGTCCTCAGACGCTGCTGGTGAACAGAGCCCGGCTGCAGGAGCTGCAGTCCCAGCTGTTCTGCTTGACCGTCCTGGCATCAGTCTTGCTGGTGACCAGTAGATTCTCTGTCAGTGTTCTGTTTGGCTCCCCTCGGTCTGTGGATGAGCTGAAATGCAGAATCAAAGCCTTCATGGAGGAATTTCATTCTAGGTGGGCTGTGTAGGTTCTGTTTCTTTAGAGGGCATGGCATGTGGTAAGAGGACAGGCAGATAAGGAATAATTGCTTATGTTCCACCACAAGCCACAGAAAGGCCCTTTGGAACCATCCACAAAGATTACTGGTGTCTTCCTATAGGTGGTCTTGAGGCTGTGACAAAGAAAAATCAAACCTGTGTCCAGAAGAGTAGTGCAGAGGCTTGTTTGCTGCTAAATGACGCTTCGTCTTGTTGCTGCAGTGCAGTCACCGTGTGGCTGAGCGGGCGGCTGTGGGCCGGTCTTATTTACACGTACTGAGAGCTGATGGGTCAGCAGTACCGACTGATGTCCACCGTGTTGCTGGACATCACACCAGCAGAATCAGAAGGCCAGGTTTGTCACTCTAGTTGGTGAGAGTAGGACAAAAGGCCATGGAAAATGTCCAAGAAAGTCTTAAAAATGTATAGACATACATACATATAAATAAATTCCACAGGGCCAAAGAATACCGAGTTGATCCAAGGGCAGAACTGAACGCTTGTCCAGAGTTGGTTTCAGTTTATCCTGTTTACTGAGAAGGAGAACAGTTGGTACCTCGAGGTGAGAGTGAAGACACTGCATCTGTCCACTGGGCTCTGCGGCTCCCAGGGGCTGGGTGAGGGCAGCAGGAGGGCTGGGGGTCTCCCTCACGTGGGCCCTGTGGCAGGCGTGGAGCTTCCCAGGCTCTGGGCCACTGCCAGGGGCTGCCAGCTGAGTGTCCTCATGGTCTAGGCCTGAGGAGGCCATGCTGGCTGTGAGTGAATGGACATCTCAGGAAATCAACCAAAGCCTCGAGAACATGGGCCTTGATGCTCTTAGCAGTGACAACACAGCCTCTTTGATGGGCCAGCTCCAGGACATTGCCCACAAGGAGAGCTGTGTCCGCAGTGTCATTGGTGGGTGTGCGCTGGGGGGTGGGGGTGAGGACAGCGTGGAGAGAGGTAGATTCCAGCCCTGCACGTCAGCTACCGGACCACTTAACAGGGACAGGCGCAGTCACTGGGCAAGTTGCTGTTTGGGCTTTAGTTTTTTGAAATGCTGGGTCGAAATATATCTGTTTTAGTTTAAAGACTGACTCTGTGGTTCTAAGAAAGATTTGCACCCAGGAATCCATGACATGTAGGTGTGGCATACTGTCCAACCAACCTGGTTGAGTCATCTCTGGCCTTCTGGGTCATTTTCCGATGGCAGTCTGTGACATGTGGCATTCACCCCCCGCCAACGAGAAACTGATGCTGAGTTACAGTGGCAGCGACTCCCCTCCACCATCCCATGCTGGAGGCTATGAACCTGGCCTTGGTGTTCACCTCAGCCCATCCAAAGGATCAGTAAGATCTTTCTGTTATGTCAAGTAGTTGGTAGGATCTAACTGACGGATACTTAAGTAATCTTTGGAATAGTCGAAAATTTACTAGCCCACTAGTTTTCCACGTTCGCTTTGTCCTTGGGAGCTAGATAGCAGCCCCCTCCCCCACCAAACAAAACAAAGTTCCCGTGTTTAGCCAAGTGAGCAGGTTAGCGAGTGTCCCAGCTGACTCAGAGCCTGGTGAGTGCGGGGCAGCGTGTCTCCCTGAAAGGTGCCCGCCCTTTCCTTTCTCGCTGTCTTTTCCTGCTCACAGATCAGCGGATCCACTTGTTTCTCAAATGCCATTTGGTTCTCGGTGCGCAGCGCTCTCGCTCTCGGTTAGGCCTCCCCGGAGGCCTGACTCTCACTGAGGCAGAGCTGGCAGAGCTGGGCCAAAAGTTTGTCAGCCTAACCACCACAATCACAGGCGTTCGGCCCCTACCACACGGAGATCCTGAAAACCCTCATCCCCTCTAGCCAGACCCCAGGAGCAGAAGCCCCAGCCCGAGCCCTGGCACTCGGACCTAGGAGAGAAACCCCGCCCTGTCCTGGGGTGACTTCTCCAGCGACCAGCAAAGCAGCGAGCCTTCTCCACTCCTGCACCCAGTGCTGGCGCTGTAGTGACTAAGCATGTAAACACCAACTGGCCCAAACTCATTCTCTAATAAACTTCTGAAAGCTAGCAAACCACTCTCCTCGTCCTGCATCTGTGGCCTGGCCCGCGGCCAGGCCTGCACCCCCAGCCCCCAACTAGGTAAGAAGCCGATAGGCCGCCGTTTTCCCTCCACCAGTGAGGAGCTCCCTTCTGCACGCAGAGCTAAGAAGCCAGGACACGCAGGTGCCGGCATTGTTTCGTCTAAGGGCGAAGCATTTCTCGGAGGGCTCTGAGCGCTCTGTGGAATGATCCAAGTGTGAGTAGAAGGGCTTCTCTGGCAGTTGGAGATTTGCTTTGTCCAGTTCAGCTCAGGACCTGGGCCTGGCTGGAAGGTGTTCTTAGGAACCTGATTTCCTGGGCCTAATTTCCTGCAGGTTTCAACCAGTGGGACAAGAAGTGAGAGCCCAGCTTCCTCTTCTGGGGGAAGCAGGGTGCAGACGCGGTAAAAGGGGGTGTTGGCCCCTGCAAGCGTGCTGGTGACAGGTTTTCCTGCTCACAGGATTTCTCTCTCAGGTATCAGTGTCCAGGCTAGGGCAGTTGGGCCAGTGACTCACTCGGGCCAAGCTTCTCCTTGGTCTGGCTCCCTCCCGAGTGAGCCCGCGTCCCCCCATGTCTGAGCGTACAACACTTCCAGATGGGTGCTGTGGGCGTGCGGGGGTGGCAGCTCCCGTCCCCCCACTGCTGGGACTCCGCCCACGGTTTAGTCTGTGCGCTCCGTTGGCATCACAGGGCACAGATGTGCGGAAAGGACCCCAGCTGTAGAGACCCCACCATCCCCGTCAGGGCGGCGTGGCCACCCCGTCCCGCCTAGTGCGGCTGAAACCAGGCGACCGCTCCGCCCGGATGCGCCCCCGCTTGTTCTGGGATGCACAGAAGGAAACGCGACTTCTCACGTGCTCTCAAGGCAGGGGCAGAGGAACAGCTGCTCCCCGCAGCGGGAGGTGGAGGGAGCTGGTTATGACCCACTTCGAGTGGGAAGAACTGAAGGGGACCGAGGTCCGTCAGCCCAGGGTTGCCCCAACTGCCTGCCTTTTGGGGGAGCGGAGCCCGGGGGGCGCAGCTGCATAGCTCACACCGACGCCGACCTCAACCGGGAAGGAGGGGAGGCTGCATCCCTGTAGACGGAGTCTCTGATATGCAGCAGTTAATGTGAACGTTTAAACAACCCACATTTGGGGAGCCTCATTATCTTAGAGGCAGGCGCTCTGAAGGAATTCCTGTGACGAGGCTGCCTGGTGGCTACGTGCAGAGCTGGCCGGCAGAGAACCTTGCTTTGTACTTCGTGATTCAACTCTGAAACGATGCATTTGTCACATGTTCACTGCTTCCTTGTGCTTTCACACGGAGGAGACAGGGGCCCGACCTGAACGAGGAAGAGCTCCATCCAACCCCGCACAGGGATGGAAGGATGTCAAATGCTGCGTTGAATACACATGAAATTTACCCTTTATGACAAGTGGTGCAATGTCGTGCAGCTACGGCCACCCTCTACCGCAGAAGTGGGTCCCATACCCATTAAGCAGTCACTCTCATTCTTCCCTCCCCTTAGTGGCCCAGCGCCCCTAACCTCCTGTTTCAATGGATTTTCTGACTCTAGAGAAAGAGAATCATATAACATGAGGTCTTTTTGTTACTGGCTCCTTTCACTTAGCATGTTTTAAAGATTTGTCATGTAGCATGTATCAGTAGTTCATTACTTTTGATGGCTAAATAATATTCCAAAGAATATTATTCCACCACACTGTCGTCCCATCATCAGTTGGGGGACATGTGGCTTGTTTTCACCTTTTGGCTTTTGTGAATAGTGCTGCTGTGAATATTTGTGAACCAGCTTCGGTTTGAACACTTGTTTTCAATGCTTTTGAGTAGAGAATATACTCAGGAATAGAATTGGTGGGTCACACAGTTATTCTATGTTTAATTTACTGAAAGCCACTGAAACTGTTTTCCACAGTGGCTGCACCATTTTCTATCCCCCCAGCAATGCATGAGGGTTCCAGTTTCTCCTCATTTCTACCAACACTTAGTTTCCTTTTTTAAAAAACTGTAGCCACCTTAGTGGTGTGAAGTGGAATCTCGTTGTGGGTCTGACTTACATTTCTCTAATGACTAGTGATGTTACACAGCTTTCCGTGTGCTTATAGACATTGGTTTATCTTCCTTGGAGAAATGTCTATTTTAGTCTTTTACCTATTTTTGAATTGGATTTTTTGTTGTTGAGTTGCAAGAGTTCTTTATACACTCTGCATACCAGACCTTGTCAGATACGTGATTTGCAAACATTTCCTCCTGTTCTATGGCCAGTCAGTTCACTCCCTTGATAGTGTCCCCTGATGCACAAAACATTTAATTTTGAAGTCCAGTTTTTCAGGTTTTATTTTTATGGATTGTGCTTGGGGTATGGAGTCTAAGAACTTTTTGCTTAGGTCTGGATCCCAAAGGTTTTCTCCTAGATATTTTGCTAAACATTTTATAGTTTTACGTTTACATTTAAGTCTGTGATCCATTTTGAATTAATTTTTAAAAAGATTTTATTTATTTACTTTTAGACAGGGGGGAAGGGAGGGAGAAGGCAAGGGAAACAGCAATGTGCAAGATACACTGACCAGTTGCCTCTCACATGCCCCCAACCAGGGACCTGGCCTGCAACCCAGGCATGTGCCCTGGCTGGGAATTGAACCTGCGACCTTTCATTTCTCACGCTGGCTCTCAATCCACTGAGCCACACCACACAGCACTGATTGCTGTGGCTGTATACAATAAGCCTTGCGGGTGGGTAGACTACGTCCTCTGACTTTATTCTTTTTCAATGTTGTTTTAGCTGTTCCAGTTCCTTTGCCTTCCATACACTAATCTCATCGATAACTACAAAAACACCTTGCTGGGATTTTGATAGTATTACGTTAAACCTGTGTATCAGTTTGGGAAGAACTGACATCTTTACTATGTTGAATATTCCAGTCCTTGAACGTGGTCTCTCTCTTCAGTTGTTTAGATTGAGTTCTTGTTGTTAGATCTACTCCTAAAGATTTTTTTTGAATGATTATAATCTTTCATTTTTAATTGTGTCCACACGTCCATTTCTAATATACAGAAGTACAATTGATTTTTGGGTTTATCTTGTATCCTGTGAGGTGGCTTAACTCATTGGTTCTAAGAATTTTTTGTCGGTTCTTTGGGACCTTCTGCATGAACAACCACGCACAGTAGTCCCCTCCTGTTGGCGGTTTCACTTTCCGTGGTTGTGGTTACCCGTGGTTAAACATGGTCTGAAAAATCTTAAACAGCAAATTCAAGAAATAATTCACCAGTTTTAAACTGCACATCATTCTGAGTAGCACGGTGAAAACTTGAGCCGCCCCCCCCCCCCACTGTGTCCCGCCGGGGATGTGAGTCACCCCTTCATCCAGTGCACCCGTGCCCACATGCCGCCCGCCAGGCGGCCACGTAGTCTGGGTTACTAGATGGACTGCGGTGGTGTTGCAGTGCTTGTGCCCAGTCACCCTTATTTTACTTAATCACGACCCTGAAGTGCAAGAGCGGTGATGCTGGCAATTCGAATATGCTAAAGAGAAGCCCCAGTGGGGTGTCCAGCCCGCAGCCTGTGGGGCCGCATGTGGCTCAGGTTGGCTGTGAATGCAGCTCAACACAAAATAGTAAATTTACTTAACACATTATGAGATGTTTTTGTGATTACGTGTCATAGTGTATTTAATCTGTGGTCCAAGACAACTCTTCTTCCAGTGTGGCGCAGAGACACCAAAAGGTTGGACACCCTTGCTTGAGGGTGTATGTATGCATAAGAAAAAAATAGTTTATATAAAATTTGCTACTGTCTGAGGTTACCAAAATCTTTTGGGGGGCTTGGAACATCTCCCCCATGGATAACAGAGGATTGTTATAATCTTCAAGTAGGGACAGTTCTGTTTCTTCCTTTCCAATATGAATGACTTCTATTTCCTTTTCTTGCTGTATTGCACTGGTTAGCACTCCCAGTGCTTTAAGATTGGTGATAACGGAATCTTCCCATTGTCCTTCACCGATAAATGTTAGTTTTCCTTCACCTGAGAATGTCTCGATTCCTCTCAGTCCTGAAGAACATGCCTACAGGGTGCAGAATTCTGGGTTCACAGTCTTTCAGCCCCTGAAAATGCTGTGCTGTGTCCTTCTGGCCCCCACAGTTCCACTGAGGAACCCACCGTCATGCAAGCTACTGACCCCTGTAGGTAAGGGGTCATTTTTCTCTCCCTGCTTTCAGTAATTTTTTTGTCTTCCATTTTCAGAAATTTAATTATGATGTGTCTTGGCATGGATTTCTCTTGGTTTATCTGGTTTGGGTGTGCTCAGCTTCTTGAATCTGTAGGTTTACATCTTGCCAAATGTGGGGAGTTTTTAGCTGTTATTTTGTGGAGCACTTTCTCAACAATACCGCCCCCCCCACCCCCACCCTGTCCCTCCTGCTGGGACTCTGCTGACAAAAATGTTTGATGTTTTGTTACTGTCCCATAGGCCCCTTAGAGTCTCTTCATTTTTTTTCAATCTCTTTTCTCTGTTGCTCAGACTGGGTAATTTCTATTGTTCCAGCTTCCAGTTTGTGGGTTCTCTTTCTTTTCTATTCTTCTGTTGAGTCCATCCACCAAGGTTTTACTTTGGATCATTGTATTGTTCGGGAGCAGCCTTCTTACTGCTGGGCGAGGGGGTGAGTTCACCCCGGGGTCTGAAAGCTTCCTTTCTGCCCTGCCAGGCCGCCCCTTTCCGCTCTCTGCCTACACAGAGCAGGCTTTTGTTCGGGCTTTGTCTGTGCCCACTGGTGTTTCTGCCAGGGGTTTTCATTGTCCTTAGCGAGAACAGGGAAAAATACATCTACTTCATCTTCCTGGAAGTAGAAGTTGTTCACTTTTGACAGCTATTATTGAGTTGTCCTTTGTGACATGTGGTGCAAGCATTTTCAGTTGTTTTAATGGTGCGTTTGTTATGCAGAAATGTTTTATTTTTATATAGTTGAATATATTGCTGTTTTTAAAAGAGGATTTAGAATTTTGTAACATGCTTGGAAGGACCTTTCTCATACCAAGTTCCCATTTTCTTATAGCTTTGTTTGGGTTTTTTTACACTCAAATATGTGAGCCATCTGGAGTTTATTTTGGTGCAAGTAGGAACAGGAGTCTCCCCACCCTGTTCCCTCCACCCCCATGACCACCCAGCAGTCCCAGCACCACTTACGGGATAGTGAATACTTCAGGGTGTTGGGGAAACCTTTAACATTGTAAGTGCTTGTTTGTAACAGTGTCCCTGCCTGAGACCCGACAGGAGCAGCCAGAGTGCAGGGGCTGCCTGGGCGATGGAGGCTCGGAGCGCCGCACTCCTCGGGCCTTGCTTGATGACACCTGGCTCTGTGTGGGCCAGTCTGGCCTGCAGGACACACTGGAAGGTCCGCGGTCCCTGTCTGCTGGGAGCCGGGTGGGCTCTGTGCCCTTCAGGCCAGGTAGGCCAGAGGTGGCCACGGCTGACAGGGTGTTTCCAGCTGTCCTGCAAAGTGCCCGGTGGGCAAAGTTCTGCCTTCTCAGCAGCCCGGTCCCTGCCGAGTAGCTCTATCTCAGCCCACAGGACTAATGGCCCAGCCGCCACGGTGCCTGGACCACAGAACGTCTGTGAGGAGACACTGGGGGTGGGGGGAGAATGACAGACGTGGCCTGATGGGGGAGAGGAGGGCTCGGTCGAGGCCGTGGGAGGGTCGCTCTGCCTCACGCTCCATGCCGACACAAGGCCTCGCAACAGCCCCCAGGGCCCGAGGGCCAGGTGTGCAGACCCGCTGACGACAGTGAGTCAGAGGGGTGGGGAGAGGTCACTGGGTGGAGGTGGGTGCACAGATGCTGGGTAGTTGGGTGGACCCACCCATTCCTTCTTTGAGGCTGCCCCACCCCGTTCCTCCTCCGGGTCCTTCTGTTCTCTCCCTCCAGTTCAGTTCCGGCTCCCACTGGGCAAGGCGGGGCTCAGAATGGCAGGCCCAGGGGCCCCAAGTGAGTGGGTCTGGTGCCCCCTCCCGGGCCCCTGGCACAATCAGCACTGCATCCTGGGTTGGGAAGCGTGTCACAGAGGCTTCAGAGTGGCACCAAAAGAGATGGTGAATGTGTCCCAATACCGTGTTCCAGAGGGCCAGGGGCACAGGTGCCCAGCCCTGCTTCTTCTGGCCACAAGGCCTGTCTCCTGCCCAGGAGAGCACCGACACCGGGGAGCAAAGGGTGCGGGGGGGGGGCCTCCACTGGGCCCGTCTGCCGGCCCAATTTCAGTGCAGTTTGGCCTGGAAGCCCCATCTGGAAGGAAGGACCTGGATTTTGGTGCTCTCTCTGCCATTGGCTGCTGGCTGGCTGCCTAAGAGAAATAACTTCCCTGATCTGGGTCTTGTTTTCTTCACAAATACAACTGGGTATTAGATCAGACCAGTGAGTTCCTCTTTCAAAGCCCTTTAACAAACGGAGTGTCACAGGAACCCGGAAGGACGAGTGTTTGGTGCTGGGCAGCTCGGGCTGGCGCAGGCAGGGGCCGGGGCTCTGAGGACAGCGGGAAGCCACTGGGCCAGGTTCCTCAGGCCCCCGGCTCCTGCTCTGTAAACAGGGCTGGCCACACTCGCTCAGAGAGGCATGCAGGCTGATGGGATGGTGACTGTGGAGCTAGTAGGTTTGGGGCCCGAAGGTGCGGTCACTGAAGGGTCACTGGTGTCATCTGGGCCTTCCCAAACATGCCCCTTTCAAATACCAGTCCAGACACCCCCCTTCCCCTGCCCCCTGGGCACTCTGTCCCTTTGCGTCCCACGGCCCTGAACTGAGGTGTGGGCCTTGTGGCATGGCTCTGGGCCCACAGCTAGCTGCATGTGTCTAAAAACCTCCACAATCAAACTAAGCTCCTTAAGGAAACACCTATCTCCCACAGTTCTCAACCCTCCACACTGCCTTGTACACAGATGGTCAGTACACGCCCATGGGTGGGCCTGCGCAGACCAGGAGCGGGGACCTATAGCCAGAATGCGGTCCCTGCCTGGTATTCAGGCTAGACAGCCCCGAGGAGGGGGAGAGGGAGGGGAAGTGCAGGGCCCTCACACCTCACCAGGGTTAATCACCAGGGTTAAGTGTGACCGACAGTCTCCCCGCTGGGGAGTGCTGGGCAGAGTGGAACCCCCCAACCACCCCCAGACCAGGGAGAGGGAGGCACTCACTGCTGACCCTCACAGAAAGCAATCAGGAACATTCCAGTTCAAAGACTCCAAAAAGGGAGGCTGGTTTTGTGTTGCTTCTCATTTATTGATTCAGTCTGCTCTAAGTTGTACAGTTGTGAAAATAACAAAACCAAAGCTGGAAGCCCGGGAATATGTACACTCTCATGTAGTGAGGTCAGTCTACGTTGTCACACAGATTGGTCACGTCTGGTACCACCAGGTGTTCGTTCATAGTCCGGACACGGCTGGACAGATCGACAAGTGTATGTACAGTAAAATAAAGGGGGAGGTCGTTCAAGTATCAAAATACAGAGACAAAGATTAAATAACATTTTTATTACAATTCAGTCCCATTGCCACACCATCAGCAACAATACTTTTGTGACAATCATCCTGCAAGCCAGGGCATCTCAAGGACAGACCAAGGTCAGACCAGCTTTCTAGTGTCTAGCAGACCGCAACCACCAGCTGCCTGCCCAGCCCAAGAATTCTCAAGCAACTCGCCCTACAGTCCGATGCTGGAAGCTGGAGAGGGGCGTGGAGCATGGCAAAGGCGGAGCCCGCCCAGAGGGCAGCCATGCTCAGAGCGGCTGGCAAGCAGAAGAGAGGCAATGGGACAGCCCGCGGCCGGCAACGGGGACCAACCCCACAGTCCCAGCTGAACAGGCTCCCACAGCTCAGAGACTCGGAGACGGGCAGGAGCAGGGGCTCTCCCACGTGAGGCCTGTCCGCAGTCACACTATTTCTTTCTAGGGAAGGGAGAGCACCTGCCCCAGAGGAGAGTAAAAAAAGAAAAGAAGAACCAGTCCTTTCCTTTCAGAAGTAAACCAATCTCAAAACAAAATCCAGAGCCAAAGCAGATTAGCTTTCAGAAGTAAACCAATCTCAAAACAAGATCCAGAGCCAAAGCAGATCAGCCAAGGCTCTCCCATGTGAAAATACCCTGAATAAATAAAGAAGATATAGCAGCTTTGAGGGGGAGGAACGCCTGCATGTGACTTAAAAACACAAGGCTGGAGAGCTCATCGTAGTGTCTACAGTTTTCTTTTTGGGCCCACCACCACACCCAGAGGGTCCCCAGACGGGCTGGCCCTCCCGGACCGCAGAGCCCTGCAGCGGCACTGTGTGCCCGCCGTCTCCGGTCCTTGGCACCCCCTGAAGAAAGCAGGTCAGACCTCCGGGTGTCGAGGTTCCTGTTTAGTACCGAAAAGCAGAGGATCACCCACCACTGCTCCAGAGGGGAGGTGACTACCAGGCCCCGGCCCACGTCAGCAGGAGGACACGGCCCTGCTTTCAGTGTTTGGCCAACCGTGGGCTCGTGAATGGGCCCCGAGAGGCCTCCCTGCACATGCGCGCCAGCCTCGAGTTTCAACGCCCACCCTCCCTGGGCAGAGGCGTGCTGCTGAGGCCTGGACTTCCGGTGCCAGGCAGGCCGAGCTGTGCCCGAGAAGCGTGAGGAGTGCGCCCTGCTCTGGAAGGTACTGGACAATCAGCTGACCTGGCTCTGCCTCTTGGCCTCACAGCAACCAGCCTCTTGTTTCGCTACACCCCGGGAGGAGGAACACACCCACAGTTAAAAAGCAAAGCAAGCCCCGGGGGGCTGCAGGGACAGCGGAGCACCCAGACACTGGTGCCCTGAAGGTCACATGGGAGAACCACACTGTCACCTCTGCCTTTCCTACATCCGGAGCCAGGGACGAGCCAGCAGATGAAAATATAACAGTCAAACCACTAACTCAGAGACAGCGAGTCCTAATCACAGAGACCTGATTAAACAAATCAGAAATTGGCAGGTAGCAATCTTAGTCGACCTGCCCATTAATGCCCAAAATGAAGTTGCTTTTCCTCCTTTCTGACTCAACCCAGCCCGTCGGACGTCACCACCAGAGAGCCTGTGGGCCGGGCAGCCCAGGGCACGGCTCTGACCAGCAGCAGGCCGGAGGCTGGGGGGCGCCCAGAGCTCTAGGCACTGGCTCCGGCTTCATGGCCCCAGAACTGCTTGCCCTTCGCCATTTGACCCCCGACCTTTACTGCTGGAACCCGACACAGACCAGAAGCATTGCTGCTGCCAGGGGACTCTCCGGCCGTGTCCAGGCCCAGGCGGGGACGAGGAGTGTGAGGGTTGTAGGGAACAGCGTGTCTAACGCGGGTGGGCTGGGACGCAGACACTGACAACTCGGAGTCAGTTCTGCCTGTGCCTGCCCCTTTCCACTGCCCACAGGCCGCTGCCTTCTCGGCAGACCCACTGGAGCTCGGGCCAAAATCCTGTCCTCGGGCAGAAGCCAGGGAGACTGGCCTTGACCGATCTCAGCTCCCCTGTCCTCTGATCCTACGGCCACTGTCGAGAAGTTGGCAGTTTAACCTAGAGGTCAGAGCCAAGTGTTAAAAGTTCATTTTATAAAACAATTTTCTATTAAAAAATGTGTTCTGGACAAATCACTTCTTGACCCTCTGGAGTTCCAGTCTCCTCGGCCAGAGGCCCACAGTGGTCCCCAGCCAGCGCAGGGCTCGCTCTGCAGGGCCCGGGGCGGGCCCGGGCCGGGCGGCGGAGAGGGGTCCCCCGGGCAGAGGCCGGCCTGGGTCTTCAGAGCTGCAGGTGGGACGGTGAGGTGGTGGCGGCGGAAGCCTGCGCTCCCCACACCTGTGTTTCCGCAGCACAGCCGGTTCCTCAGTGGCTCAGCTTGGCAGAAGCAAACACAACGGGGGAGGAAAGGGTTAACCAAGGGGCCTGCACAGGTGGAGGGCACAGCACGGGAACAGGAAGCAGAGAGGGAACAAGAAGTGGAAGAGGAGGTCCCTCACAGCCCCCTGGTCACCCACGGCCCGCTGCCCCTCGGCACCTCTGGCTCAGCGCAGCTGCCCAGGAAGGCACAGGACAGGCAGGCGGGCAGGAGGGCCTCCCTGGTTTACCAACTTGGGTTTCAATTCTAAAGCAGCTGCTGCAACTTACTGGCTTTTCTAGTGGACGGAACTGTGTCTGCACTGCTCCCTGCTGGGACCACTCCCTTCGTGTCTCCGGCCACCTACGCTGACTGGCTCGCACAGCACAGCATGGGGCTTCCTCAGAGCCTGGACCCAGAGGCTGCTGCTGCCGGCCCGCTCTGTGGTGACACACTGCACCGCCCCCATGCTGGGAAGGGACCGGGTGACAGCTGACTCAGACGGTGTCAGGAAGCCCCCGGAGGACTATGGCAGTTGCTCAGTCCAGGTCTCTGCCCTAGAGCGGCTCTGCTCTGGGAGGGCCACGTGTGCAGGGCGCAGGCCTCCCTCCTGTGGGCGACACAGCAAGGCCTTGCTCCGCCGTGAGCTGAACTCCCGAGCCGGCCCGTGACCCACTGGCGAAGACGCGAGGGGCCAACCACATATGCCGCCCCCTTCCTCGGAGTAGAAGACCCGTCAGGACCGAGAGACCTGCTGAGTGAAGCTGGCCTGCTGTGTTCAGACACTCAGCGCCCCAGCGCCTGATGCAGACCGTGGCCCTCACAGAAAGCAGTCTGGCTCTGGTCCAGCTACCTCGCCGAGCTTGGTCTCACAGTGGGGAGGCCAGCACCTCGCGCACACGAGAGAGAGACAGGGCCGCAGGCCAGCTGTGTGCAGAGTGCAAGGGGATTCTGGCATCAGGTGGTCACAGTGGTTGGTTGTGGCAAGAGAGGTGCAAAGAGACAGCTGTTAGCAGCGGCACCCGCTGAGGCTCGGCACAGAAGACAGCGGAGGAGAGCAGGGGCCCGGCCCAGTCACAGCGAGCCGACACTGGGGCTGCCTGGACTCTGCTCGAAGACCGTCCCACCCTCAGGATTCGCAGTGCATGCCGCTGAGGCTCCGGGGGCGCGGCAGGGCCCCTCAGCCCTCTTGGTGCCCACCTCAAAGGCAACTCACCCCCCAAGCTGGCCTTGCCCGGGGGATTCACAGTGTCCGGTGGTAGGTACAAGCTGTGAGTGCAGTGTCTGCAGCTGCTGCCCAGGAGCAGAGCAGGTCCCGGGGCGGGGCCCGGCGTCAGCAGCTGGAAGGAGAGTTGAGAAGAGCAGAAAGACCGGGTGGCAAGGCACAGTGAGACTAGTGGAGACAGGGAGTGGGTGGCTAGAAGATAGTGGTCTCGTACTTGGTGCTGAGGCTCCGCTTAGAGTCTGGTTTGGGGTCCACCACCCAGGAGACACTGGCATGGGACTGGGCGTCTGGGTCCATGTCAGGAGGCTCTAGCTGCCAAGGAAGAAAGGTGAAGAGTCAGAGAACACCGCACCTGGGCCGGGGCATCTCAAGGACAGACCAAGGTCAGACTAACTTTCTAAAGGTCTAGCCGACTGCGACCATCAGCTGCCTGCCCGCCCGTGGCTTCTCAAGCGATCTGCCCTACAATCTCATGCTAGAAGCCCGAGGGGCGCGGAGCACGGCAAATGCAGAGCCTGTCAGGAGGGAAGCCAGAGAGCAGGCTCCCTGGGGGTGGAGGGGCAGAAGGGACACCCTCCCTGGCTCATCGTGGGAGGGCCACCTCTGGGCCTTGGCACGGGCAGCCTGTCCCAGGGATTCCTTGGAGCTGTTTGCCCTAAGCCCCAAAGCCATGGGGTAGGCAGGGATGGGGGTTTGGACACTGCAAGCCTCAGGCCCCTCCAGAGGGGCCGGCAAGCTCAGCCAGGCAAGGCCACGGCCGGCACCCCAGGCGCCTGGAGGGAGGATGCACAGAACAAGGGCTAAAGCGCAGACAGAGCGGCAGGGGCAGCTCAGGGGAGAAGGGCGCCGTGCAGGTGAGGGGGAGGCCACGAGTCTCAGGGAGCTCACGGTCCCTCCGGGGAGACTGACACACAGACACAGGTGATGTAAAGACCTTGACTCCAGGACTAACGGATGGCAGCGGTAGGTAAGAAGGACGATGGGTGGTGCAGGTGTGACAGTAACAACAGCGACTAGCGGGGGGCAGCGGCACCTGGGGTGCGAAGCAAAGCAGACACAGACATGGGCGACATTACGGGGCCCGCCTGCGCCGCTCTGCAGCCCCGTGGTGGTCGGCTGTCCACTTCATGTTAGAGGGTCCTGCAGCCCACCTGAGGACTCAGGGCAGGAGCCTGACGGGCAGGGCGGCTTCCTGAGGGGTCAGCTGCCTAAAGTGTCGCCCCACCCCCGAGCCCAGGACGTGGGGAGTCTGCGGTGGGCCACGTACTGCTGACTTCCTCATGCCGACACGAGGCTTAGGCACCGGTTTGGAAGATTTTGTCTCGATCATCTCAGTGGCAGAGGCGCCCATCGGCCTGGACTTCTGGGCCTGCAGGGCCAGCTGGTAGGCCACCTCAAACGCCTGCCCCAGCGTCAGGATGATCTCGTAGGTCAGGTTCTGGGAGGAAACAGCACAACTCAGGCGGACGGACGGAGGAGTCACCCTGGCCTCACACTACCCCCCCTCCCCCGCCCCCCGGCACCGGCATGGAGGCGTCGGACAGGGCCCGAGAGTACAATCAATTCCTCCGGGACTTCTTTCGGTCCCAAAGCAGCGGAGACGCTAGGGAATAACCTGAGCTCAACACATGGTTTCTCAGGCAGGCTTCCTCAGAGAGAAACACCAGGCAAGTGCAGGACCTGTGCCCGGCTGACCCAGGTCACTGGGGACGACACGGAATGGGCGCCCGTCAGACGACGAGGAGCCGCAGCAGTCACGCCTGCGACCCCAGCTGCCCACCGGCCCCCGCCCCTCCTGGGGCCGCCGGGCCTCCTTGTCCCGCCGTCCGGTCTGTGCCGCTGTCCCTGCTCTCTGCTAGTCTCCCTGTTCTTTTAGCTCCTCTGTCCCCTCCTCTCCTGGAGGCCAACCCCAGGTATTTCTCAAGGGAGGGAGCCATGTTCATCGGGGGCACTTATGTGCTCCTTAGCCACTCAGAGACCGGAAGAGTGCTAGGGTTTTTCCTCAGTCCCCATCTCCTTTTTCACACGCGGCCAATGAAGTTTCTGGGTGCTGCGTCCCCGGCCCCGCCCCGCACCCCCGGGGCCCCAGGTGTCACTTCCCTGAGTGCGGCAGTCTGCAGGAGCCCAGCCGCATCTCAGCGGGACGGACCGACGTGGGAAACCTGAGTGACCAGTGAGTGCCGGGACGAGGACCGGGCGGACTGCTGCAGTCCATCATCACGGCAACCTCACGAGGCTGGAGGCTGGCCGTATCACACCCCCTGACTGATGAGGGGCCCGACACCAGGCCCAGAGCCGCAGCGTGGAGGCCCCGGGGCTGGGGGCGCCTAAGCTGATTGTTCCAGAAGCTACAGATTCAGGAACTCACTCCTCTCCCCAAGGGCAACAAGGAGTTCTCCCCGTGGGCGACTCCCCTCGGGCCAGCACCAGAGTCTAGAATAAGCAGGAACCCTCCCCACAAGGGAGGCAGAGGGCATTCAGGGAGACTGCCCGCAGCAGGGGTGGGGAATTAGGGTGGCGGCTGACAAACCACCTGGGGGGGACGAAGGCCATGACTGACTGCAAACACGTGCTAGAAGAAGGAAAGCCTGTCACTAGAACCCTGGACAAGCCCCTTGTCCTGTTCCATGCCTCAGCCTCGCTGCTGGAGAGAGGGGACCACACGGGGCAGCTGCTGCAGCTTCACTCCTGGACCGAACGTTCGCAAAGAGCCCGCCAGGTGCCAGAACAGCACCGCACCGAGGCCGTCTCCCCGCGGGCCCCTCCTTCCAGCCGCGCTCAGCTGCGGGACTCCACCCACCACGTCCACTGTGCTGAAAACGTGGCAATAGTGGTGGCTGGTCTGCAGGTCCTTGGTGATGTAGGCAAACGTGCAGAGGTCCTCTGGGTCCTGGGCCGCACAGGAAATGTTCCGGATCTCATGCTCGGCAATGACGTTCTGCCAAAACAACAGCCGGGCCTGGAACCCTCGGGCTCCCGGAGGGCACGCCCGAGCCCTTGACCACTGCCACCGTCCTCCGTCCCAGCTCAGGGGAGCCGAGCTCCACTTCCTCATTTTTTTTTTGGTGGGAGTGGTGGAGGCAGCATTTAACCTTGCACGGTTTAGGTTTGGGGTCCCCACCCTTGACCACGGCAGCTGGTGGAGTAAAATGTTCACATCCAATCACCAGCTCCCCAGCCCCTCTGCCTTCCAGGGTAGGGTGGAGGAGAGAAAGGTATCAGCAGGGTGGGGTACCCAGACAGGACGTGGGGGAGCCCTCTGTTCCCTGAGGGACTCACACCACTGAAGGCCCCTGAGCAGGCCGACGGGGCGCTGGAGGCCGTGTGAGGGAGACGTGGAGTGATAGGCACCAGTGCGAGGCCCCAGGATCGGCGTGTGTGGGTGCGAGAGAGACAACCCCCCGAGGCCAGGGTGGGGGTGGAGAGGAATAAAAGGGGCCGAGGACACTTTGGGGAAGACACCCTGCCAGTGAGGGATGAGGGACAGGGAGAAGGGGCCCCTCCTCCCACCAGCACTGTGAGACGTGCACCTTGTTGGAGGCATCAATGAACTTGACGCCTCTGTAGGTGATGGACAGGATGATGGTGGGGATCTTCTTCATGTGCTCCGTGGATTTCTACGGGAAATATGGTGGCCTGTGAACACCCCTTCTCAGGGTTAAGCCCCTGGGATCCCACAGCCCTCCAACCTCCCTCCCCGACCCCCAGCCTCACACAGGGTCCAGGCAGCTGCAGCTGGCACCCTACTTGCTGCCTTCATCCTAGCCAGCCCCTCTCACCCCACAGAGACAACCCACCCGCATCTTGGCACAGGCGTCTTGTGTGGATTCCGTCCCTCGAAGATCTTTGATCAACATGGAGCCCAGATACTGTGGGAGTGAGCAGTGGCCGGGCTTAGGGAGTGTCCCACACTGTCACACAGGGGTGACCCAACCAACTCAGGACTAGTCAGATGGTCCCTTCTCCCAGTGGTTCCCTGCCCCCGCACCAGCTGGGGTGGCCCCCCTTCCCCCACCAGGTGCTGGGAGCGTCCGAGGAGCCCTGAGTGGGGGTGCGGTGGTGGTGTGAGGGGCAGGAAGCAGGGAGCTGGGCTGGGCTGGGCTGGGAGGGCAGGGGAAACTCACATTGGCTTCATAACCACAGGATTCAAAGATGAGTTTCTCTGGCCGGTGTTGCCAACTCTGCACAGGGGCATAGGGGGCAGCAAGGCTCGGGGGCCGGAGGGTCAGCCTGGCTTCGCGGTGCTCTTCCTGCAGGACATGCGGGGTCACAAGCCTTCCCCCACCCCCCACCCACCCAGAGGAGCTCGTGGACTCTGCGTCTGGCTCTAGCACACCCAATGGTGAGGAAGCCAGCCACCTGAAGGCCAAGGGTGGGGCAGGGACAGCAGGAGGCAGACAGTCATTCAAAGGCACTGTGGCAAAGGTGAGCACTATCCGTGCCAGAGAAGAGGAGGAGCAAGGCCCTGAGGCCCTGAAAGCAGGCTTAGTCGGGAAGGCTCTGCGGTATCTGCAATGAGCCTTAACAGAGACAGGGAATGACAAGCCTGCGTGGGGTGGCATGAGGGGGGAGCACAGGGATCAGGACCCGGATCCCTGGAAGCCTCGCGCCCCAGCCTAGGCCCTGGATCTGAGCCTGGGGTGGGGAAGTCATTGAGGGCCCCGAGGCTGGGAAGCACTGTAGTGAGCGCCCAGCAGCGGCGGGGGCAGGGGTGGGGTGGGCCGCTGCAGCCCACCCCCTGCCCCCCTGTGAGGGGATAGGCTCCTTCCTTAGGGCACTGGTGGAAGGAAGGGGATGGAGGGGCAAGATCTAGAAAAGTCTTTACGACTGCCATTCCCAGCAATGTGCAAACTAAAGCGACCAGAGCTGTCAGACCACAGCTTTTTAAGTCTTGTGAAACTTATGGCCATGCTAGTGGAAAGGCTGGGAAATGCGCAGAGGCCAGAAATGAGTGTGAGTTAGGAAGGAAAAGGAGTGAAGCTGAAGTTCACCCTGAGGGTGCGGAGGGGCACCCCCAGTCTGGAAGGCAGCCCTGATGCACAATGGCAAGGGCTGCACACGGGCCCGGAGAGTGTGCGGAGGTGGGAGGCACAGCTGAGAATGTGAGGCAGGCAGCTGCCCCGCCACTGAGCCACAGAAACAGCAGGAAGAGCTGAGCCAGGTCCAGGCTGCAGTCTTGGGTGCTCAGAGCAGCAGGAGGTGGAGTTGCGGTGCAGGGACGGAAAGTTTTGTGGAAACGGGAGGGTTAGGACAAAAAGGCCCAGATGGGGCTGAGTGGGAGAAGCTGAGGGAGGCCCTGACAGTGACAGCAGAAGCGAGTCTGAGTTGCAGCACCAGGAGCTTAGGGCCTGGGTGCCTGGCACAGGCAGCCAATGGGGCAGCCGGGAGAAGACTGGTGTCTTCCTCCTGCTCCTAACAAGGCTCGGGTGTGGGGCTGCGAGGCTCTGTCTTATCCAGAGGAACGAGGGGACCTCTGCCTGCAGCACCCCCTCCTGCCTCACCTGGCTTCTGAAGCGCTCTGCTCGAGAGGGTGCCGTGGGGTCGGGAAGACTGTCATGCCGCCTTCTGCCTGTGTCCCCAGGAGGAAGCAGCAGGTCCGCAGACCGTGCAGTGCACGAGTCGCTCTGGCTCAGAGGGGACGACGTCTGGGAGAGCAGGTCTTGGCACTGCAGCAGGGACAAGTCCTGGTGAAACTCAGAGCCATCGGGCTAGGGCCCGGGCTGCTGAGGGCCCTCGGGGGCAGCAGTCAGCCAGACAGGACAGCCTCTGGGCTTGGAGGAGCCAGATGCTCACTGGAGCCAGAAGCCCTGTGGGTGAGCAGCCACCCCAGCAACCCCCTTCAGTATCACGCCCCCTTGGCCTGGAGCGGCAAAGGGAAATGGGAGGTGATAGGGCTGGGCAGTGCTTTCCAATTGTCAAAATATCTGTCACAGTCCATTGTGGGTCTCTGGGATACGTGACCAAATCCAAAGCTCACTCTTGAGAAAACACAGCAGCAGCAGGTGGCACCCTGAGGCCCTACCTCACAAGAATAGGGGTCAGCGTCCGCAGTTTTTACAGCTAATGTCAGCTGTGCGTGGCTCTCAGGCCCAGTCTGCCTCGGCTTCCCATGTGTAGGAGGGGGACAAAACAGCACCCACTTTCTGAGGCTGCTGGAAGTGGGTGGAGGCACTCAGAGCCAGGCGCCGGTCACCAGCTCACCACCGCCCACCCGTAGCTCAGTTCCGAAGGTTTGGGGGACGGGCACCCTGCACCGCTTGCAGGGTCTAACCCACTCTGCAGTCAGGGATTGCCTGGCTGCAGCAGAGCACCCGCGAGGGATGTTTGAATCGCAGGCTCTCTCGTGCACCCTGCTACAGGAATCTTTCTGCAGAAGACTTGGGGCGGGCGAGGGTTAGGGGACCCCGGTCCCACCTTGCAGTCCAAGCTTTGTGTCAGGTTCAGGCTCATGTCACACCGCCTGGGCCCCGGCTGCCCGTCTGGCCCCGCTGCACTGAGCACAGCTGACTTTGCACTCAGACACGGCACCCAGCCCTCCGGGGTTTGATGTTTTCCTGGTTTCCTAACATCGTGCTTCATGTATTCAGGTGCTCCCATGCCAGGTGTGTACACGTCCGTTAGGGCTGTATCCTCACGTCGGAGTGCTCCCTTTCTCACTGTGTAGGGTCCTGCTTTGTCTCTCACGATAGCCGTGGTTTGAAAGCCTATTTCATCATATATAAGCACTGTTATTCCAGCTTTTTGTGCCTTTTCATTTGCATGAAGTATCTTTTTCCATCCCTGTACTTTTAGTCTGTGTGTATCTTTCGACCTGAAGTGTATGTCTTGGAGGCAGTGTATATATGGGTCTTGTTTTCTTATCCATTCAGCTACCCTATGTCTTTTGGTTGGAGCGTTTCAGCCGCTTACTTTTAAGGTGATTATTGATAGATATGTATGTAGTGCCATTTTATTGTTATAATTTTTTCTATTGTTACTATTTTTTTGTTTGTTTTTTTTTTTCCTTTCCCTTCCTTCCCCTTCCCCTTCTTTTAATATTTGTCGCAGTATAGTTTGGTGTTAACAAACTCCTTTAGCTTCTTCTTATCTGGGAAGCTCCTTATTTCTCCTTTGATTTAAAATGATAGCCTCTCTGGGTAAGGTAGCCTTGGTTGTAGGTCCTCACTTTTCCTCACCTTGAATATTTCATGCCACTCCCTTCTGGCCTGAAATGTTTCTGTTGAGAAAGCAGCTGGCAGTCTAATTGGTGCTCCCTCATAGGTAACTACCTGCTTTTCTCTTGTGGCTGTTAGGATTCTCTCCTTGCCTGTAAGGCTTGCCATTTTAATTACTAGGACTCCCTGAGTCCAACTTGTTTAGGAGTCTCTGAGCTTCCTGGACTTGTGTCTTTTTCCTTCACTAGATTAGGGAAGTTTTCGGTCATTATTTCTTCAGATAGGTTGTTGATACCTGGCTCGCCCTCCTCTCCTTCCGGTGTTCCCATGATACAGATGTCGTTACGCTTCATGTCCAAAATGTTTCTTAAGTTCTCCTCATTTTTTAAAATTCTTTTTTCTTTTTGCCGCTGTGCCTGGGTGTTTTTTCCTACTCTGTTTTCCAAGTCACTAACTTGATCCTCTGCTCCATCTAACCTACTGTTAATTTCTTCGAGGGTACTGTTTATTTCAGATATTGTAACCTTTGTTTCTGACTGGCCCTTTTATCTGGTTTCTGTGTCTTTTTTCATGCTGTTAAGTATCCTTATAATCATTACTCTAATCTATCTGATAAATTTTTTGCCTCCATTTCATCTGTTCTTCTTCTAGAGAATCCTCTTGTTCTTTCATTTGGGGTCTGTCCCTTTGTCTGAATTCTGGCTGCTTCTTTGTATTTGTTCCTGCGCATTAGGTAGATCTGCAAAGACTCTGGTGCAGACCTTTGTCAGATGCTGCCTGTGACTGGCCCTGGGCAAATCCGCAGTGTGCGCTCCCTCTGCCAGGCCTGTCTGCACAAAAAGAACCAGAATGCACACCAAGGCAGGCTTTTACCTGCACTGGGCCTTGGGGAGGGTCAGCCAAAGGCTCAGAGCTCCCAGAGATCTGCCTTAGCTGTTAAACTTAATCAGTGATACAGCTTCACGTTGCACTTAGCAGCCTGGTTTAAGCTCCACAGGGCGGGGTAGAATGATTCCTAGGGTGGGCTATTGCTTCCCCTCAGGCTGATGCCATTCAGAGAGGAGTGCTCTGCCTGAGACAGGTGCCCTCGGCAGTTTGGGGACTGACTCAGTACAGGGATCCTGGTGGCTGTTCCTTCAGTTCTCTCCCCAGAGACACCAGCCCCAGACTCTCCTAAAGCATTTTTAGTCTATTCTGCCTTCCCTCTGCCAGAGCCCAGGGTAAGTGGCTGTAAATGGAATCTTGTGTGCATTGGCCCTTTAAGAGGCTCTCTGCATCTCCAGCTGTCTCTCCCTGGCAGACAGAAACCCTGCTGCTTTTCACAGCTGGATGCGATCTCAGCTCCTTTTGAGGCTCTGGTGCTGTAGGCTGGGGAGCCCAGCTTAGGGTCTAGACCCCCAACTCCTCAGTGGGAACCCCCTGGCTGCTGAAATATCCCTCCGCAGATTCAGCTGCCGCCCCCAGAAACTCAGCCAACTGCCTCGCACCTCCTCTGCACTCCCTACAGGCACGTTGTGGTTAGGTTGTTTCTTCTGTCTGTCCTTGATTATAAGGCTTCTCTCAGGCTTGTGTTCAGTTGGTTATTTGGGATCCTAACATTGTACTTCCCACTTATTCTTTAAATGGGAGACATGTGATTGATAAGTAACCACCCCAAACCACTGCACCCCGCCAACTGGGGACTAGGGGCAGACCTGGCCCTGACAATAAGAGGGGAGGGATTCTCTGCGTCTCCACCAGAGACTGCACTGTCTCTAAAGAATCCCTAAAGAATTCCCTTCAGAGGGTGGGCTGGGATGGGGGTAAAGAGCAGAAAACTGTCCTTGAACAACAACAATAAAAAAATAATAATTCCCTTCAATTCCCAACAACAGAAAGAACACGCACAACCCTTTCCATCCTTCCCCAACTCACCCTAAGCTGGGAAAACCTCGGGGGCTTCTGGGGTGGCTCCTCGTAGGGCCTGTCTGCAAGGGAGGCGATGATACGCTTGCGATGGCCGAGCGGGTGAACCTTTAGAACCTAGACGGGAGCGAAAGCGCAGCGTTCAGGTGGGGACTGGCCCAGGGCAACCCCAGTCACCAGACCTCACCCCCTGGGCCAGGCTGGCAGCCCAAGGCAACCCCTGCTGGGGGAGCAGCCAGGCTGAGCAGGAGCCGCACTCACGTTGACGAGCTCCAGCTCCCAGAGGTTCTTCACAGTGTCAATGGAGCTGTAGCCACTGGACAGGAAGGAATGGACATAGTCCTGCAGCCCCAGGGAGTCCAGCCAGGAGGGCACTGATGAGGGACTGTTCCCGTCATAGCCCAGGGCCTTCACCTGTAGGGCAGGGAGGGGAGGTGGGACTGGCATCTCAGCACTCAAGAGAGTCCCTCAGCCCCTGGGGGCTGTGGAGACACACGTCAGCTTACATAGTCCCTACGACAGACCACGGTCAGGGCAGGTATGGGACAGGCACTGAGGGCCCTGGAGGGGACACCCCCCGACAGCCTTTTTGGTTGTGGCTCTGATCTCAGGTTCCCATCTGGAGACCACTACGGCACCCCGGGTTAGGCAGCTGGGGAGGAGGGTCTGCGGAAGACCCCACTATGTTCTTAGCAGCTCATGGACCCTGTGGGACAAGAAAACTGTGTGTGTCCATGAAGCAGGTATTGACCTCACCTGTTGGGTCTTGTTTACATTTCTTGAGCTCTGTACAAGTGAATGGGACAAGGGGACACTGGACTCAATGCCAGTAGTCAAGGAAAGGCTAGGCCCTATCAGCCCCTGGCTCCCCAGGGACAGATGCCAGGGGTCAGCACAGGCTGGCCTGGTCTGAAGTGGTTCAGGGGGGAGCCCAAGCGCGTGGCCACCATGCTCCCACACCAGGTGGAGGCTGCAAGCCCTCCTGAGGCCAGACCAGATTCTCACTGTCCCTAGTGCTTTGCTGGCTCTCTGGGACCCCCAGGACGAGGGCAGACACCCCAGGGTGATCTGCATGCCCAGAGCCAAGCTCCTCCCCTGTTCCGGGTTCTAGGGAGGTAGCCCTGCCTCTGGTGAAGGCCAAGGCTACAGAGCTGTGGGTGATCACCTTGGGCAGGGACCGTGCAGCCTGGAGCAGCTTCCGGCGGTGCTGTGGGTCACTGATGCCAATATCCCGCAGGTCCTGCTCTTCCATCACGTTAGACCCCTAAGAGCAGGGAGGAGAACGTGAGGTCCCTCCTGCACATACGGCTGGGCCACCTACAGGTGTCAGGCTGGCCTTTCATAGCTCCTCACCAAACTCTTCTCTTTTGCCACAGGTACCAAGAAGAACTGGAGACCTGGGACTCCCGGGGAGGCCAGGCCAGGCAGCAAGAGGCCTTGTGCATGCAGGTGGCCAAGGGAAGCCGCAGACAAATCTGCCCAGGCCTCCCGCTCCCATCTGAGCGGCACCCAGGTGAGCTGGGAAGTGCTGGCTCTGGAACGTGCATGGATGCAGACCTGGGCCACAACGACAGTGCAAGCCCAGGCCTGGCCACAAGCCCTAGCCCATTTCTTGAGCTAATGCACATTTTCTGGAGAGGAGGTTCTATGACCACCCCAGGTGATGGACAGGTGGACAAATCCCAGTCTCCTGAGGCAACTGCCCTGGATGAACCCCCAGAGCCCAGCTGGGCACATACACGCATGTGCAAGCTTCATTTCCACACAGATTTAACTCCTCTGGGCCTGCAGAAGGTCACGTGGGCCCTGGGCCCCACTCCAGGTCTGAGGCCAGCTCCAACGCCAGCCCCAAGCCCAGGTGTCACCCCGCTGAGGTCTTGTCATCACTGTGGGCCCACACTCAGGGTGTGCTGACAGGGAAAGGTGGAGGGAGGCAGGCACCTGTGCAGAATTCTCCACCTGGCGACAACACCTGTGCGAGGACCTGAACTAAACCAGACAGTGAACCTTAAGCAGGGCGGCACCGCAGTAATTTCCCGAACTCCTGCCGCAACCCCAACATTGGCTCCTGAGCCTTCCTGAGCATTTAGGGCAACAGGGACTGACAACCAGGAAAACCAGACCCAGCTAGAGATGAGGCCTTCACTAACCAGACCCCAGAGAGAGGACTGGGCACCGGACGCAGCTGTGAGGAGGAGGAGCTAACGGGAGCAGAACGGAAACAAAGGGGATCACGGAGCATCAAAGCGAGCGGCTACCAGAGCACATCCCGGGCGCAAGGCGGGGCCTCCCGGCCGCCTGGTTTTGCTGCACCTGCATTCTGTGGGGTTAGTTTGAACACATACTAGTTTTAAATATATATACACATACTTTGAATATATACGAGGTCTGTGAGGAAAAAGTCCGACTACTGTTAATGAGAACACTGCGTGGCATCGATGTAACCTGACAGCCAAGGAGAGTGGAGTGGACTGTGCATGCATGAACAGGGACAACTTCACTCTACTGGTCAGTGGGGTTGGTAGATGCCATTGAGTGAGCATGTGCACTGTGTGGCCGTCACATTAAAAATGATTGAGTTTGTAGAGCAATGAAGCTGCGTCAAATTTTGCATTAAGCTTGAACATCCTCTGCAGAAACTATCTGGATTATTGAGAAGGCTGCAGGTGTGGGCAACTGGTGACTGGCAGCTTCATCATGACAATGTGCCTTCTCGTGCATCACGTCTCATGCAGAGTTTTTTGGCAAAACATCAAATCACCCAGGTGACTCAGCCTCTCTACAGCCCAGATTTGGCACTCTGTGACTTCTGGCTTTTCCCAAAACTAAAATCAACTTTGAAAGGGAAGGGACTTCAGACTATTGATGAGATTTAAGAAAATATGATGGGGCAGCTGATGGTGACTGGGAGAAACTGTGTGAGGTCCCAAGGTGCCTACTCTGAAGGCATCATTGTCCTCTGTACAGTGTTTCTTGTATCTTCAATAAATGTCTTCATTTCTCATATTACATGGCTCCATGGCTGGATACTTTCTGGACTACATAAAAAAAATAAGGTGCTATAGATCCTCACAGACAAGAAAGATTCTGGAAGTTACCACCCCTTCTTACTAAGGGAGGAAGGGACTACACTACTGCCTTCTAGAAACCTCTTCACTAGGAGCACTGTGGGGGAAAGGGACACCCTACGCCCCGTGCCCGCAGCTGCCGATGGCTGTGAGCCAGTGCACGTCTGAGCTCTTCACGAGCAAGGTTAGGGAGCCGACACAGGGAACAGCTCCTGGGCCTAAGCATTTCAGTTAATAGAGATCTTCTTAGATGTTAAAAAAGTTCTATTTTAAGTGAATTTGATACACATAACTAGACCGCACTTGGCCCGGCTGGGCTCAGCTACTGAGGAAGGGGCAGGAGGGCAGCAGAGGTGGGACACAGCCTCGTGGCGCCTCCTGTCCCCGCGGGCTCTGGCTCCCGCTGTCCTCTCACCGGTCCTCACAGCCAGGGGCAGTGTTTACTCCAGCCCCCACGCTGTAGGCGAGGAAACAGGTTACACGGCTGCTGGGGCTGCCGGGGGGCCCCCTTCTTGGCCACAGCCTGCCTTGCAGACGTTGAGGGCAGAGCAGAGCAAGCGGTGGTCCTCAGGGTGTTCCCTGTGCCCCCACTGCTGCTCTCTGCGGGGGCGAGACACGCAAGGATGCAGCGACGTGGGTCCTGACCACATCCTGGTGCTGTGCGGGGGTTCTATACTCACTACCTGAAAAAGTCCTGCCACTACACCGTCAAGGCCCGAACTGTCCACATGGTACAGAGACACTGAGGCCCAGAGAACCACCCCGACTCACTCGAAGTCACAGAGCTCACGGACGGACGGACGGCAAAGGGGCAGTTAACCCTCCATCTGACTGACCCCAAAGTCCGTTCCAGGCCCCTTTCTCAGTCAGGCGGGGTCTGACGAAGACAAAGCAGCCTGGGAACAGGGGCAGGCACTCCGTCACAGGGCTGGGACACGGCCCTTGGCAGTGGGAGGTGCCATCCTGTCCCCCCTCACCCCCCGCACTTGTGTTTTGGACACGTGTGCCTCCTAGGACACTCCCAGAAATGGAAGAGTGGAGGGCCTGCCAGGCCGCACAGTGATGGGCGGTCAGGGTCGGCCCAGGCCTCTGCGTCTGGGAGCCTGGAGCTGGCTGACTGGGGCAAGGCCCACCAGCCCGTGCACTCAGTGAGGGACAGGGCCAGTCTGCCCTGCGGGACGACTTGCAGGATGGCACACACCGTTAGTGGGTGTCCTGCCTAGATACGGCCCTCCTAGAAGCAGTGCCTGTCATGACGGCTATTAGGTCTCCTCTCCATGGGCCTGATCCATTGAACGCTTTCTCCTCCCTGCCAGTACCTTCCTCGGGCTCCACCAACAGGCGCAGAAGGTGGCACCTTGCACAGCGGCTTATCACCACCAAGCAGGGACTCTGAGGCTCCAGGTCCCTGGGTGTAGCTCACTGGGTGGACAGAGGTCGGGCGGTCTGCAGCCAGGTCAGGGTCCGGGCAGGGAGTATTCCAGGTAGAAAGGGGGGTGCTGAGCAGGCCTGCATTCCTTTTTCATAAGCTTTCTCTGGCCTCCAGGGCTCTGATTATGATGAGATACTTCTTGACCATATGATTTTAGAAGGAAAGGTCCTTATACATCTCGGCAAGCATCCTGCTTGTTAGTATTTTGCTAAACATTTCTGTAACTGCTGGAGCACTACTGTGGGCCCTCTCGGCCAAAGGGAAAACAGGCTGGGTTGCCCATGGAGGGTCCAAGGCTGTGATGGGGCAGAAGCCGGTCTGTCTCATCCACTCCTCTCCTGCATCTGGAGTAATTCCCGGCATGTTGTCTGTCTTCAACAAATGCTGCTGAGTGACAAGGAAACTTATGGCTGGAGGGCACACTGACACAAAAGAACAACAAGAGGCTTACTAGCCGAAGCCAATGCTGCTGCCTTCATCTGTTTGGTCTCTGAGTCCTCTGTGAAGCACTGGGGGGGGCGGGGGGGGCGCAGAGCAGCCCGGTGCAGGAGTGGGGTAGGGGCCCCCATGATATGGAGGGTGAGGTGGTGGGGGAGTCTGGGGCTTTGCATAGAGGTAGGTGGTTAGAGGGCAGAGGAGTGGATCCATGGGGGACCCCCACTGGGGTCACCGGGCAGTGCCAGGCAGGGAAGCCCAGGCTGTGAGGTGGGGAGCTGTGAGGCGGGGCCGGGAAGGCAGCCAGCCGTAACAGGAAGTTGCTCCTGCAGGCGCCAGAGGCAAGCTGTCCCGTTTAGTCCTGAGGAAGCGGAGGTTCATCTCAGAGGGACTGGCCTGAGGCCGCACAGCCCCACTCCTGCCAAGTTCAGATCGCAGAGCTGCCTCTTTCCTAGCCCAAATGAGAAGAACCAAAGCAGGGCGGGGACAGTCGTTTGAACTTCACCCTGAAGCCGGGCTTCTTTCTGGGCACACAGGGCTCAGCAGTCCCTTGGCAAAAGGTGCCAGTGCGGGGAGGTGGAGGCTGGGCTATCTTGGGTGAACTGGAGGTGGGCCTGGGAAGCTGACTCTGGACCCAGACGTCGACACATCTACAGGAGCCCCGACCCACACAGTGGTGGTGAGTGTGCCCTGTGCTCTGCCCACCTCCTCCCTCCTCCTGCACAGGCAGCACATGGGGCCAGGGAGGTCAGCCGCCGGGGAGCCCCGCCGGGGAGCAAAGGTCCTCGTCGGAGACCTAAGGCCTAGCAACATTTCGGCCCCTCCTTGTGGAAGACAAGCTCTCAGCTTGGGGGTGCTGGGCAGACCCCAGCACCAGGTCTGGAGGCTCTGTTGCTGGGGGCCGATTCCTTGGCAGGGCTCCCCCGGGGCTGGCCCTTCCTCCCATCAGCTGGGAATCTGGCATCCAACGGGGGCAGTGTGGTAAGTCCCCGGAGCCCAGCTCCCCAACACCCAGCTCGCTCAACCCAGCCTCAGAAGAGCAGCCGGAGCAGGAGGGCTGGGTCCAGTCACCCGGGCCTCCTCCTGGGTCTCGAGGTGAGGAGCTCACGCAGCTTTCCAGCGCTGGGCTGGCTCAACGGGACTTCGAGGTCGCTGGGGGTTTCCACTGGGCCTTGCCTCTATCTCTTCCCCACATTAAAACAAATTTTTTTTTCTGAGTAGAAAAATGTGAAAATGAAGAAAGCACAGAGAAAAATGTAAAAGCCACCCTAAATCCATCACCACAGAGAGAAAACAACAGTTGGTATATCTTTTAAGTAAACTAATATA